ACATTGCTATTGACATGACCCTACTGAAAGCACTACAGGAAGTTTTAAGACCCATCGGTAAACGTTTTAATTGGTAATGTCCTGTACTAGTTGAAAAAGCTGTGTATTTTCTGCTTTCAGGTGCTAATTTTACTTGGTAGTATCCTTGTTATAAATCTAGATGAGTAAAGTATATTGAACCGGATAGTGAGTCTAAGATGTCAGTTATGTTGGGTAACGGAAATTTATCGTCTACAATGTTTTCATCTAATTTACGGAAATCGATTACTAAACGCCATTTCTGTGAGCTTTCAGACTTTTTAGGTACTAATAGTATAGGACTTGACCATTCGCTAGAAGATTCCTCGATAATGTCGTAATCGAGCATCTTTGTTATTTGTTTATTTACTTCAGTTTTTAATGCATGTGGTAATCTATATTGTTTTATATATATTGGATTAGTTTTATTTTTTAATGTAATGGTATGTTCGCAAATATTAGTAGTTTCCAATTTGTCACCTGGTAAGAAGAAAATATCAGAATATTTAGAACAAATGCTTTCAATAGACTCTTTTTCTTCATTGTTTAAATGGTTAAGTTCTAATAAAGGTAACAAAGATTTAGCCCTATTGGAGCTACTTTTACATTGACCAAATTTAAAAATGTTATACTCTCTCAAAGGTTCCACATCTAAAGTAAAATTTTTTAATCTTATTTCCTCATCTCTAGTATTTAAAATCTTAATTGGAACGCGTTTATTTTTCGGTTAAACAATAGTTCCTGCCAAAAATACATCCTTTTCTATCTCTCTCGCGCACACAAAACAATCCTCTTCCACTTCCTTATTCAAATACACATAATGTATAGACTCACTTCGAGGTGCGAGTACTAACGAGTTGCTATAATCAGGTTTATCGAAAATCGGTAAAATACAATACTTACCATCAATTTGCAGCGACAGTAAACTATTTTCTAAATCTATTTTAGCCTTATATCTAGTCATAAAATCTAATCCTAATATTCCATCAACGGCGATAGGTAAATTCTTGAAACTATAAAACTTGCTTGTAAATTTATCATATTTAGAACTGTAAATGTCTAAAATAACATAACTCGAAGCTTCGATTTTTCCTACGATTCCATTTATTATTAAATTATTGTAAAATATTTCACTCGACTTAGGAATTTGTTCTTCCTTAATTACCGAAATAGATGCACAGGTATCTACCAGTAGTATAATCTTCCTATTCTTAACATAAAAATTTACGAATTTAGTGTTACCTCTACAAGCAAAAACTAAGTTATTAAGTCCGAAAAAAACTGGTTACTCTCTCTCTCATCAGCTGGGTGTTCTACGTTTTCAGCAGTTCGTAGTGGCCTATCATTTTGTAACGCTAATATTATTGTTAAAATTACCTTTCTTGTTGTTGTATCCCCTTCTGTTGTTGTAGAACATATTTTGTCCTCTACCTCGCGGCGTATACTGGAATCTATTACCTTGATATCTACTAAAATTGTTATTATTATTTTGGAAGTTAATACCTCTGTTGTTGTAATTGTTGTGGTAATTTGTCTGGAACCCTCGACCTCTGGTTTGGAATCTAAAAGAACGATTATTGTATCTACCTCGACCTCTAGGAAAAGATGAAATTTTCATTACCTCTGCCTGAGTAGATGACGATGGAGTGGATTCATCCTTGGCCGCTTGAATGGCTTCTTTTAGCGATGTGTAATTTCTAGCAGCTATAATCGTACTTAACTTTTCATTTTTAAGTCCATCCGTAAATTTTTTAATCACCATTTTTTCATTAATTGGTTTCAGAACTGTACTTTTAGTGACGTCACCGTCAGCCTGTGAAATATTCAAATCGGTTAATAGTTTTTCAAGTTGAGATCCGTATTGTTCAATAGTTCTATAGCCCTGATTCAGAGACTGTATCTGATTATGTATTGCAGTGAAAGATTTTTTTGTCAATAACTTATTACGAAAATCTTGAATCATCAAGTCTACTGAAGTATAAAAATTGGATACGCGCAACTTAGCATTTTCTGATACCCTGCCCTTGAGAACAAATTTAATTAAAAGTTGCTGGCCTTCACTACTAAGCGTGTCTGCACACATTTCCACAGCATCAATCAATCGTTTCGTAGTATCTTCCCTATCATCTAAAAGAGGTATCAAGCTACAAGCAGTTTTCAAATCAAAATCCATCTTTTCTGATTTCATCTCTAAGCTGGGTGAAACACACAATTTCGCTATTTCTGCAAATAAAGAACAAATTTTGTCATATGTTTCAGTAATTAAAGATATTTCCGACTGATCCTTAATATTACTTAATGTAGAAAATATATCTTTACTATTATTTAAATATATCTCGGCTTCGTTCGTTCAAATTATTTAACGCAATAGATCTTTTATACCTACTTTGTCCTTTTTTAATCAATATTTCCTTATTTCTGACAATTGCACATAATCTTTTATTATTTTCTCAGCCATAATACCATTAATTTCATATAGAAACTAAAGTTAACTTGCACTCGGTTCATATTTCATTCAATTGATTTTAATTTTATTCTAAAACGAAGCACAGTCATACAGTGTACCGATTACAAAATGCTGAATTGCATCTCGGCCGATCGCAGCGGTCGGAATTCTTAGAATTAACACATAACAGCAACTATTTTAAATGTTACAGAGAAACAAAATTAAACATGCTACCTAAATTTAACATAATTTTCGTAAAGAAGTTTATAAAATTACCAATGTCACTATAATTGTCACGTTAAAAAAATTGTTTCACTCACTCTCGTAAAAACTAAACGGAAATGCACTCTTTAGGAACTGCACTAATATAAAACACACAACGGTTTCACGCTGCTTGTCTGCTCACGCGCAGAGTCCAAAAACAGGCGTCGTCATGTGGATATACGGTGTAGGGGCACTCGGAGAAGTCAAGGATCGCTCACTTATGTCCAGGGTTCAGTACAGGGCTACCCCTGTACTGAACCCTGGACTGTTGAGTTCCTCTACACCGTACTCTACACCGACAGTGAGTGCCTCTACACCGTATATCTACGTAACCGGCCTACGCCGGTTACGTAGATATACGGTGTAGAGGCACTCGGGGAAAGTAAGGCAACACAAATTTATACATCTTCTTCATTATGCGGTTCACGTCTGTTAGACAGTCTAGTGCGCATTCTTCTTAAAAATTCCGCATTAATTTTCTTTTCTACCCATTTCTTATATTTTTCTTTCAGCTTCAAAAATATGATAACAACCAAGACGATTGATGCCAAAATTAAAAATGTGATCAATATATTGTTAATCTTTATATGATAATTCTTTTCTTCTATTTCCACAGTATTGGTTCCTCCAGTTTGGGCAATCGTCGTTTCATGTTCTTCATTTCTCGTATTACTACTCCCCATTTTGTTTTTTGGCATGAACACGCGCATACACAGTCACAAAGTTAATAATTATATTCTTATTCATTATTATTACGTAGTCGCATTCACTGCCGAGGCACACAGGAATGTGCAAAGTCCGCACCTTTAGCCTGCACCCGGACACGCGCGCTTGGCATGGGTCGCCATGAATTATGTTATTTATAATGGAATGAAAGATCAACACGTTTGTTCAACTCGAGTGTTTATTTAATACTGGCTTACTTTCTAATACATCGAATATCACCTACAAGTACATAGGTTACTTCACCGTCTTTGTAATTTCAGGCACGGGACCGGCTCGGTGACAGTGCTACGGCCGACACTCGGCTCGGACCCGACTCGGTCTAGCGTGAGTCAACCTTAACTCTATCTGAATTTTCGGAGGTTCGCATTTTATATAATGATCTCCGTATATTGAGCCGTGATAGCTCAGATGGTTAGCGCTCGCTTTCAATTTCACAGTACACGAGCAACTAGGGTTTGATTCCCGGCGGCAGCAATAAAATTGTTAATTGCAATTTTCGGAAAATTCTACTTTAAGCTTACTTTCATCGTCAAATTTAATTTGAAAAAAAAAACTGAATTTATTGCAAATATAGTTTTATCACACCTCTAATATTTTATTTAGCATTAAAATTAAAACAAGACAGTTCGCAGATTGTAGAACCAAAGACCTTTTTTCTATAATCTGAACCTTTTAAATTACACGACGTATTATGGAATATTAGTTCTGCATATTGTACCTTTAATTAGATTACGGCTGAACTTATGTAATTTAATTTAAATATTAGACCACATTATCACCTGAGACCAGACAGTTGAGTACCTACAGTTAATACGTAAATACCGAGCAAATATCGCCTTTATTAGTACGTGATAAAAGGTGCATTATGCTATCGCCATTTCTTGTTATGCGTCTCAGTCATAACTACTGTATGGCGTCTTTAACTTTGACGTATTACTTCTATATACATGTGTGCACTTGTGACATATTATAACTTATAGTAGATGTTATTCACTAGTTATTTGCGTAAGAACTTATAAATAGAAAGAATGAAGACAAAGAGATTAACTCGTCTCTTTTATGATACTCATAGGTTATTTAAAAAGCGCGAAGATAATCAATGGATGCGCGCGCATACTCAAATATGGCTTCCATGTTTTACAGGCAAACTCAGACATTGAGATCTTTTAGTGGAAATTAGTCCATCGCTCAGTTATAACGTTGCATATTCCTGTACTAAAATGACCAACGCAATGTATATAAGTCAATTGGCTTTTGCGTCTAGGAAATACAATATGTATTATTTTGATGTTTTAAGTTAAGAGTTCTGAAAGTATTAGTCGCTTAGCTTTGGTACCAACTAAAAAATCGGTGATTAAGATAAAACTGTTGCTATGAAATTTACACCAAATAGTCAATAAGACATACTAAAAAGTATTTCTTTTTAAATTCTGAGTTAAAATTAATTCAGGTTTAATTAAACTTTGCTAAAAATAAATTAAAACAAAAAAGGGGGGTTGGGGCGTCCAGATCTTAGATCTGGATTGCGGTCACGAATTTTCGAGTTATGGAGAAAGGTTGGCGCATTTCAGAGTACCTTTTTGCGACTATGGGCCCTGGAGATCGAGGGCCGAAAACCACGGAAGACCGGTGCGCACCGCTTGAGCCCACCGGCATAAAGAAATGGCTAGTGGACAATACAATGCTGGTGATAACATTAATTGGCGTCTTAACAGGAATTTCTGTTGGTAAGTTTTTTTTTTTTGCAAACAGTGACATAACACATTTTACCCGACTATTAAAGAGGAGGTTCGCAATACGACAATATTTCCCTGGTTTTCTCGAAATGTTTTAAATTTCTTTACCAGCTGATTACCTCTTAAAATTGCACTGAACAGTTTTAGTGATGACGACGCCGGTGATTTTACTCATAGGTATTATAACATTGTAAGAAAATTGCTGAACTAATTCATTAAATGTGCAGTTGACGATACGTGATGGTGTGTAAGACCCTCCATACTATCTCATCTTGAGGGTTCCATATATAAAAGCTCAATAAAGGGGAACGCTTGCAATAAGAAAGCCCAAAGCCATAATTAAAAAATAATGCTATCGGTACGCATTTTGGTTCCGTTCATGCATTCATCAGCCTACCAATTCCAAAGCTGAACATAAGCCTTATAGATTGACACATAGGGGAAATGTTTACTACAGTTGTCGCATTTTTTTATTGTTTTTGAGAAAAAAATATTTTTTGTTCAATTTCCCTCTATTGCCTCCTACTTATGGTGGAGTAGTGTATCTCTTACATCGCATTTTGGTAAGAGTGACTAATTTCTGACGCTTACAAATCAAATCCTTATTTATGAATGAATATATATAATAGAATATAAATAATATTTATAAATGATTTGAACAATGTTCAAATATTAGTTTGAATTCGTATGTACATATTCAAACTAATATTAAGTTTTGTTTAAATTAAATACAAACATTTAATAAGATTCATTTTTCAGATTTTATTCCGTTTAATTAACTCGACGATTCGAGTACTTCTCGTCACCCATACTCTGCGGTGTTTGACGTTCAGATGTCACAGTCAACCCAGGCTATTTTTACCTTTTCATTATTTATTTTAGTATTTTAGTCTATGTAGGATGGGTTCACTGTATCTTGTTTTGCAGTGGTTTGCTTGCACTGATATAATTTTATCCATTACACGGCAGTAGCCTAATCTCGGATTTTTAATAGAATAAGGGTGACAAACGAGCACCAATCCACCTGGTGTGCAGTGGAAGCTGTGGCCCATAAACATCTACATTTATCTTCGATTAATTATCAAAATGCAGATGCTTTGCCTGAGGACTAAGACAGAATGCCTCGTTTCCGGTAAAAACGTGCTTCGGGTGCGGTCTGCGAACTCAAAGGTCGTGGGTCAATCCGCTATCCGATTACTGTCGTTAAGGTTATACCTCGAAAATTTGGTGGTTTTTCTATTTGACATATTTTTTTAAATTTTATAGATTACAAAACAAAATTTTGGTATATGATTTTTGACTATATGACCCTGGAATGCATAAAAGGAAAACACGATATCATGTAAAGCATATCTAAGTTTTCATAAACCAGATTTTTAATCCATAACGAAGTTTTGTTAAAATAAATAAAAATGTTGTTCGGCGCTTACGTAGTTTTTTTCCGAGCGCTTGCTCGGTATGGCTATCTCATAATTTGCGTACTATGAAGTCATTGCATCACTTTCATTTTAACACTCCCTCGGACGTCCGTTAGCTTCACCGACAAAGGAATAAGCCACGCCCCCAAAACTTCGATTCATTTTCAAGGTATCCTCTTAACCACAAACCACAAGCGTTTTAAAAAAACAAACTTATCAACAGTTGTTTAAAGGAGAATTAGTAATATTAACATCATTGCTAGTTTATTAAAAAAGCAAAATAAGTAACAATCAGCCCGTTTATATTTTATCTTTAATATTTTTTCTTGCAGGTTTCGGACTTCGTCCGTATCGCCTAGGACCAGATACACTGATGATTATTTCTTACCCGGGCGAAATTTTCATGAGGCTATTGAAATTGATGATTTTGCCGCTAATCATAGCTAGCCTGATAGCTGGTTCGGCCAGTCTGAACGCTAAAATGAGTGGGAAGATAGCAGTCAGGACCCTTCTATACTTCATTTTAACGTCGCTTTTCAATGCATTCCTGGGCATTGTTCTTGCTCTGTTGATACACCCGGGTGAGCCGGAGCTAAGAGATTATACAAATGTTGTACCGAACAAAAGGGATCATAATATCCTGGACAGCCTCTTTGATATTGGTCGGTAAGTTACTTTTCTATTGTGTACCATTTATCATATTTATATTCTAATACAAAAACATACCAATATATGTTAGGTACAATATTTATTACAATAAAAGTCTAAAAACTAACTTTCCATTGGATTTTTCTTGTAAAAATAATTATTGCAAAACTTAAAAAAATCACTTTAATTAATTAGTACTTAATATTAATGAGCAATGTCACGTGTTCCACAAATCAACGTCAAGCTGAACGCCCTATAAGCCAAGTTGTGACAGTTATTACAAAAAAATAAAAAAATAAAATGAATCCCACCCAATCCACCCATCGGGGTATTCACTCAAAATCTTAGGTGTGCCGGAAACGATGCCGGCGCACTCGGTCTGCAGCTTTGACAGGTGGCTCTTTCTGAAGACAGATCTCTGGCAAAGACTTTGGGGCTGTATTGAAGTTGCGAGAGTCCCTCGCATGCATTTGGAGATCTGTCTATTCAGTTGCTTATATGCTGTCAAATCTACTGAAGACTGTAGCTTCATTGCCGTCTAACAGGCATGAGATTAAGAGTGTGGTCGGAGAGTTTTTGTTTTCTTCTGCGACGAGTTTTACAGAACGTAGCTCCAACCGCATGGACAGTTTCCACGAGCTAATCATTCATATCGTTCACTGCATTGCAGTCTTTTACGCATTGAATAAACGGTTTTATAACTCAAGTTGAAAGGTTTCCTGGCTTTGGATTAGAGCACAAGCACTGTCTCGCTCACATTAGTCAAAATAACGTCACTTTCCTTCTCAATCGAACTTGTATGAAATTGGGCTTCATTAAAAAAAAGTTCTTCCTCAATTAAAAAGTAGCAATTAGTAAGTGTCATACCATTATGGAATCAAACCACACGCGCCATCTTTCAAAGTTACATACCAAAATAGTGTTGTACATTTTTAGGGTTCCGTAGTGAAATTACAAAGAACCCTTATAGTTTTGCCATGTCCGTCCATCCGCGGTTATACAAAAATACGGTAGGTGGGACAAATCTATGATTTGGTATAGTTATAGATGTTAATCACGGCTAGAAAACTTTGAAATAAAACCTAAAAATAACATTTTTACTTTGGGTACCTCCGTTGCAGGTGAAGGGAGGATAATTTTTTTTACCTGTCTATTTTATCATTGGAGTATCGTAGGATAGGTTTAAAAAAACATTGGGGGTCTGGAACTACATTTTTTTTTTTAAAGGTCTGTTTGCGAAATATTTAGCTTCAATGTGGTATTTTTCATTAAAGTCGTGTCCCCCTCTACCAACAAAATCGTTGTTTAGAAAAATGTGAAAAGTATACACATTTGTAGTACATACAATGAAGTTATAAGGTAATTTATCAGAGCTAAGTGGAATTAGTAAGTAAACGATTAATAGTCGACCAAATAAAAATTGCAGTTAGATTGATAAAACTTTCGTTACAACTCTACACAAAATAACTTAAAACTAGCTGCATTATAACTTTGTAATGTTACTGAAAACTGTACGAAATAAAAGTTTTATGATGAAAACGACTTAAATGCATTACTATTACAGTTTTACTTTTTTCTTTTGCGAGAAAGGCAGAAAGGATCTTTTCTACTTTTACTTTACTATTTTTTTAGTTGGTACTTATTGTAGGCCTCATTTAAAGTATTCATACAATCATATAGCCTCATAAAATTTCATGCATGGTACTCTTGGTTTACGTGGGCAGCTCTTACAAGTTTAGGGCAGTTGTGGTTTACGTGAAGGTTCGTTACGTTCATATATATATATATATATATATATATATATATATATATATATATATATAAAAAAATATATATATATCTTAGGGTTGCACGGTCAGGAATATATAGATAGATAGTCCACTATGACCATCTTTATACGGACTTGGCATGTGAATGATTTGATTTAGATTGTATTATTTTCAACATCGAATAGTTTTTTTTTTTTTTTTTGAATACCTTTCCTTATAAGTCTGATTGGAAAATACGTCCTTCAGTTACCATCGCCCTATTTGGGCCCATTTTTAGTCGTTATAGCGTTCAAACTGCAAACTCAATAGGTTCATTATCAAAAAAGCCCCTTCTAAGTTTACGTATTGTAAAGGGAAACAACGGAATCCTACCTCGACATTGTGCGTGACCCGACACGCACTTGGCTATCTTTTTACAAAAAGCAAAAAGCAAGGCCAAAAATCAAAGATTTTATTTAAAACTGAGTCAGTTTATTAACTTTAATTTACAAAAGGATTTTAACTGTAATTTACAGAAAGGTTATTCATGGTTACGTCACAAAAAAAACTACGAAAAGTTAATATTTGTAGATAGTTACAGAACTTGAAAGACCATCACAGGGTATCAGTTTTTAAAATTAATTTTTGAATCCTTATAATTTGAAAAGTACATGACCAAGATTTTTTTTAATATTTTTCTAGTAACTGTCACAACTTGATCGATTGCCCGTTTCCGGCTTGACGTTGATTTCTGGGATAACCTGTATAATATGATATAAAACCTAGAGTCTCTAAAACAAAAATTTAAGGATATATTATTTTATAATAACTCTGTAAATACTAGGAACAGATACAAGCTAGTAGATCCAATTACTCGACACCACATATTCAGTAATTCAATCTTGGGGTGATGTATACGCTTTTACAACAAAATCACAGAAAATATACAAAATCTGATTTTATCCAAATTTAAAAATTTAATTAATCAAAGATTTTTTTATGGGATAGGGTGACAAACGAGCACACAGTCCACCTGATGGTAAGTGGTTGCTGTGGTCCATAGACATCTACATCTATCCTCGATTACAAATCAAAATGCAGATGCGTTTCCAGTAAAAAGGGTCTCCGGTTCTCTACACTCACCATACGAAATACAGCAGCATTAAGCTACTATTTCACGCTGGTATTCTGTGAGAGCGTAGTCCTTCCCCGGTCAGCCGACCCATTCGTGCTACAACTATATTTCTAATATAACTGCAGCATGGCTCTACCACGTATAAATATTGATTGTATAAAAAGGTTATTATTGTAGATATAGGAATTTATAGATTATAGTTACCCATGGGAGTGAGATGATCGCTACGGAGCTTTTTCTAATTTGTTTTGTGTTGTTAATTATTTTGTAACTTTAACGATTCTAAACTTTCTTTCTTTTTTCAAAAAAAAGTCCCGCTGGGTTTCTTGCTGGTTCTTCCCGGGACAGAGTTTCCGAACCAGTGGTAAATTAAACATAATATGACTTTCAATATATATTGTTTATAATCTATAGTGAATAAAAAAGTTTATTTTTCTATTTCTGTGCTTTTACTACAGGTAGTGCAGTTAATTTGCTTGCTAGTGAGATCGTTTTAATGAAATGAAATTCATACCAGTTAAAATATTTTTATATCAATACATATATTATACGCGCGGCAGATATGAAACATCGTAGTTAATGGTAGAATTTATAATTTGTGCAAACAATAAAATATAAAGTAAAATAAATAAAATTAATATTAAAAAAATACAAAGTGGTGACGCGTCAACTATATAAAACATACACAAAGAAGCAACGAATTGTATAGTATACGCGCACTCACACGCATGGGAGTCAAGAGCGGTGGCGTAGAAGCGGCATGACGGCATAAGATAGCGTCATGCCGTTTGCCGTCACGGCATACGAGTCGGTTTTAGTGCCAAGGCACGCCAATTGATGTTTCACATCAAATTCTCTTGTTAAGTAAGGAGAGTATATAAGTCAACTAAACTTGAGAAATGCTACAGCCAGTATGCCCTCCTTCAGGTGTATGAAGATGTAATAATAATAATAATAATAGTAATAATGTTAAAAGGGGAAGGGTTGCTAACTCTGAGGGCATAGACTTATCTATGCCCGTCAACTTGAGGACCCTTTCCGAGGCTGAAACATACCGATACCTAGGTATGTCACAGAACATCGGTATCGATGAGGCTGGTATGAAACAGTCTGTTTGCGACGTGTTTTATGCACGCTTGACCAAAGTGCTTAACAGCCTTTTGTCCGGTGTGAATAAGACACAAGCAATTATAACGGTTGGGTCATGCCTGTGCTCATGTATACCTTTGGCATACTTAGGTGGACTCAAACGGAACTTAACGCCCTGGATAGAAAAGTCCGTACTACTATGACGTTCAATAGGATGCATCACCCAAGATCTTCGATTATGAGGCTGTACTTGCCGCGGAAATATGGTGGGCGTGGCTTATTAAGCGCGCTTACCATGCATAATCGCGAAGTGTGCAGCCTCCGTAATTACTTTCTGACGAGATCGGATGATCCATTCTATATGGACGTCATTTGTTGTGATAAAGGGCTTACCCCTCTATCCTTGGCCAACGAGCAATGGCAAGAACTGGCAATACAGAGCATTTCCGACGGGGAGACTGTATGGAAGGAGAAGAAGCTCCACGGGAGGTTCTATAAGACTCTACATGAACCTTTCGTAGACATAGTCGCCTCCCTCAACTGGCTACGTTTCCGTGACCTCTTCGGGGAAACCGAGGGTTTTGTATGTGTGATACAGGATCAGGTTAAGACCAACAAATATCGGAGATACATCCTAAAGGATGGCACCGTCGCCATCTGTCGAGCTTGTCGCCATCCCGGTGAGTCACTTAGGCATGTCATCTCCGGTTGCTCGGCGCTTTCTAACTCTGAGTACTTGCACAGGCACAACCTAGTAGCCAGAATTCTACACCAGGAGCTCGCTCTGAAATACGGTCTCGTGGACCGGAAACTGCCGTATTACAAGTACTTGCCGGAAGCCGTGCTCGAAAATGACCGCGCCAGGCTCTACTGGGACCGGGCCATCATCACAGACAGGACTATTCTTGCGAATAAGCCTGATATTGTGTTGATGGACCGGGCACAGTCAAGGATATTTTTGGTCGATATTACCATCCCGTATGACGAGAACCTCGTGAAAGCCGAAACAGATAAGCGAACAAAATATCTGGACCTGGCTCACGAGGTGACCGACATGTGGGGTGGGCTGCCGACCGAAATTATACCTGTAGTCGTCTCTGCGAACGGGCTAATCCCAGTCAGCCTCTCTGGTCATCTGAGGCGACTGGGGCTCCGTGACGGACCGCTCCGGGCTCAAATGCAGAAGGCGGTGCTTCTCTATACCGCCCGCATCGTCCGCCGGTTTCTTTCCCTTTCCCCCTAACCCTCGGCCGTTTGCTCTCCCCTGCCGAGGGCTTCCACCTGGTTGGGCTTTTATTTATTTATCTATATTTATTTTATTTTATTGATATTTATGTATATTTATCATTTTCATTTATAATTATATATTTATAGAACCCAACCAGATGAGAAAACTATATAGATACCCCATAATAATAACAATATTTATTTGCGTAAAACATGGTTTAAACGTCGTTAACAAGTGAGAACGAGCGCTCACGTTTTGCTATTTTACATAGCATGCAAATATTTTTAAACAATGTCAAATATTTCCTTAGCTATTTAGAATACAATAATTAGTCACATGATTTTGTTAAATATAATATATAGAGTAAGTCATATTACAATAATTAATTAAATGTCAATTCTGAGCATCGTCAATTTCAATAACTATTAAAAATTCTCATATTCAAATTTCATTAAATTATAATTATTTCTAATATTAAAGATATATTGTAACTATACTTTAACAATAATATTTAAATGAAAGTTTTTATAATAAATATTATCCGATACGTAATCTAATTTTTACTATCCAAGAATTTTTTACGCTATAGAAATTATTTTCATTGAGCCATTTGTACAATTTCCTTTTGAACAATGTAATGTCTAGGGTTTTAAGTTCGTCAGGCAGTTTGTTATATTATATTTGGACACACATGGTAAGGCAACTTTTACCGTATTTTTGTAATTTAGGTATATCCTAGGTACAGGTACACCTGTAACAATGGAAATGAAAGAATTACTTGTTCTAACCTACCTAATGTCAATACGGGACAATGTTACTGCAAAAATAACAGCCGGTTTTAATTTATGAGAATTTGAAAGTAACATTTATATTTTTACTGGACGTATTATACTGTCATTAAAAACTTTTAGGAGTAATAATGAATTATTTTATGCTAATAATTTTTTATATTTACGCAAACACTACACATTAATTATAACTACTTTTACGGATTTTATCACGTTTAATTTATTTTATGTTTAATACCCGACGTTTCGGGTGCTTTCAGGCACCCACGATCACGAGGGATTGAGGTCCTTAAAATCCTCGCGAAAGAAAATCGATTCCTACCAAGGATGATTATATTATTTATTATTTGACATAAGGCTACATGAAATTAAAAAACATCCTAATTTCAATAGAGAAGGAGCCTGGGTACTAACCACCTGCTTTTTGGGGCCTATAATTAATAAAATTAAAACTAAACCCAAGCATACCACTGCAAGACTTTAAAACACAGTAAGTTCATTCTGCGTAGATCGGACCAAAAAAAAAAATTAAAAAGCTGAAGGTACTCCGGGTTAACACTGACATCGAGACATCTGTCACCTCAGTCCCCAGTGACTATAGGTGTTGTAAAGCACCCGAAACGTCGGGTATTAAACATAAAACAAATTAAACGCGATGAAATCCGTAAAAGTAGTTTTAATCAATCTGTTTAGGCTCTTATAATTTGCTCACTTTAAAAGTCATTATATTATATATAATTTTACAAACCGTGTAGTGGCGGTTTAAGAATATCCACTATCTCATATCGTCACGTATGTGTCGTATGACGATAGAAGAAAACAAACCGGAACAAGGGCAACGGCATTTACACAAAAACAAAAAATAAAAATAAAAAGCCCAACCATCCTAATCTACCCCATACCCCCCTAAATTCTTTTACATTATATCCTTATCACTCTTCTTAAAAGTTTGAAGGTAGATTAAAATACCATTAATAATGTATTTAATTTAATTATATTTTAGTTTTTTTATACGTCACCCCCACACTAGGATTTTCTCGTGTAGCGTGGAGGCAGTTTACATACATAAATTTCACAACTACAAACATCCATACTCGGAACAATTATTTGTATACCATACAAATACTTGTTCCCTACAGGAGCAGTCATCAGTCCTTATAATAATGATATATGATTATAATAATATATCATTTTAGATTTATCTAGATTCAGAACTTACAACGAACCTACTAAACTAAATACTTAAAGTCATTCTTACCCATGGGAAGCTATTTGTATGCCACAACCAAAAATTAAAATTAGAAAATAATTATAAATATACAACTATGTAAGCAGATAAGAAATTAAATAACGTTCTAAAATTTATATCTTTTATATTTCAGGAATATATTTCCGGACAATATCGTTCAAGCAACTTTCCAACAAGCGCACACAGTGTATACTCAACCAGTATCCGTGGATGGCATAAATTCAACTGATAATGACACGGTACCGGCGCTCGTCAGGGTGGTATCTTATAGGTAAGTTATTTTATCGATTTGTGCGATGAATAATATTTTATTGTGTTTAAATTAAGTGACAAGAAGTTTGTTCCAGTATGTATGTTCCAGTGCGTATAATTGTCATTTTTTTCTTTCATACGTCACAGGTGTACTATCTAATTACACTATTCTCTTTCCATTGCGCGCGTGGATAGATAGATCCCAGGTTCTATGACAAAACATGCTAAATAGATGCGGCAGCATGTTATGTTGAACATATCACTCGGGTTGCAAATTTAATGATTTAAATTACTTTTATATCCTCGTTTCCAGTTATGCAATGAAATTAACATTCATAAACATCCGGTATAGCACTACAAATAAAAGCGAGTTGCGGCCCAAAAGTAAACAACTTACTTGTATTATTAATCCAAATAAGTATTTATTATATGTGCACGTATATATAGAAAATATGTGCCCGTGTGTGTATGTGTATGTGTGTTATACGTATGTATATATTGTTGTATGTATGTGTATATGTCTATGTATATGCATATATATTATGTGTGTATATGTATGTAATGTACTCTAAGGTAGCCACTGAAAATCAGGGCTAGGATGATACATCTTAGCGTTTCCAGAGTGGCAGTCCTATTTGGACCATTTCCCATTAAAAAAAGTTTTTTGTTTTTAGTTAGCTGTTTACTTTTTTTAATGTATTTTGTATCTATCTGCTTTGTCAAAATGATTTATTTTTCATTGCAAGTGTATAATTGTATACCTAAACATAATGTTTGTTTTGAGTATTTAGTGCTAATTTGTTAAAAAATGGCCAAATAAATATCTCTTTCTTTCTTTCTTTCTTTTTATACGTGTTAAAGCCATGCTAAAGCTATATTACGGTTGTAACACAGACTGTGTTTATAGGTACTAGCTCTCTGTTCTTTAAAACAGAACACTTTAGCGCATGCTTCCAGTGGAGCCACTCTGCAGCTATATTATGGTTGTAGCACGGTGAGTCCGCTAGGTCGGGGGACTTAATATTCTTAATCTTATTTAATTTTACCTGTAGTCATGCAATAATTTATGGGTGGATGGTATTCCTCAAAACTTGAAACCGAGATTGTACAACCAGTGCGTGTTGACAGTGATGACTTAACGATCTGAGACGTGGTCCTTCACTGCTGGCCGTATGAGGACGCTCAAGGTCGCTCAGTGAGCTATGGAGAGGGCTATGCTCGGGGTTACTCTGCGTGATAAACTTAGAAATTATATCCGCAGTAGAACCAGAGTGACCGACATAGCCTTACGGATTAGTAAGCTGAAGTAGCAGTGGGTCGGCCATATAGCTCGAAGAACCGACAACCGCTGAGGAAAAAAGGTTCTCGAGTGGCAGCCTCGTACGGGTAGGCGAAGTGTAGGGTGACCCCCCACTAGGTGAAGTGATGAGCTGGTAAGACGTGCAGGCAGTCGATGGATGCAGGTGACTCAGGACTGTGATTTATGCCATTATTTGGGGGAGGCCTATGTTCAGCAGTGCATTTGATAGAAGGGCAGTTATCATTATGATGATGCAATAAATATTTTTGATTTGTATTTCGGCTGCAGCATGAATAAGTCAGAAACTGGTACTTACGCAGCTGGATTTCTATAAAGGAAAGGAGTCTTTCCATCTCCTTAAGCTACTTCCGTCGAGTCATCCCCTTCGTGCTGCAACCATAATATATTATACTAACTATGGACCCTTTTGCTTTCAGGTCAGGCACAAACACCCTGGGCTTAGTGTTCTTCTGCCTGGTATTCGGCAGCCTTCTCGGAAGCTTAGGGCCTAAAGGGCAAGTGGTGATAGATTTCTTCCAGGCAATCTTCGAGGTGATTATGAAGATGGTAACCGGTGTTATGTGGTTCACCCCGTTTGGTGTCAGCAGCATTATTGCCGGAAAAATATTAGGGGTCCGTAATGTTGGTAAGTTAATTTTTTAACAATTCCGTGATTATATCCGCAGCATTTTTAGTAGTAGTCAACAGGTGTTACCTTTATTCAATATTATCAACAAAATATAATATAATATGAATATTTTGTACCGGGTGTGGACCCGTACAAGAAAAGTTATTATCATATAAAAGAAATATCATTTCGTGGTAGGGCCACGCTGCAGCTTTATGATGGTTGTAGCATGTATCAAAACCACATCGTAAATTCACCTCGACCGGGGTAGGACCACGCTCTCACCGAATACCAAAGTAAACGTTTTATACATGGTAGAGCCATGCTGCAGTTATATTGGTAGTATAGTTGTAGCACGAATGGGTCGGCTCGACCGGGGAAGGACCACGCTCTCACAGAATAGCAGCGTAAAATAGCACCTTAATGCTGCTGTGTTTCGTATGGTGGGTGTAGAGAACCGGAGACCCCTTTTTACTGGAAACGAGGCATTCCAAATTAGACCTCACGGGTGACAACGCATCTGTATTTTGATTCGATTCGATGATAAAAATCATCACGTTGAAAGGTAATTTTTTAAGTCCCTCTTTTTAGTTTTTTCAGTCCACTAGTGAAAATGCGTCTCTCATATTTTAAGGAGAGTTTGCTATTTTCTTTTTAGGACATCTTTACATCCACAGTATAATTTTTTATCTTGCATTGTGGAGGCTGTTAGTATACATACATTGCACAAACACGCACAACTAGAGCCGGAACAATAAGGCATACAAACTCTTTTTTAGTGCCGGATTCGAACCCGCGGCCCTACAGCACTGCATAACTGTAATTACCGTCCGTAGCAGGTGGATTGCCAGTCGCAATACCGGACGTGTCGCACCCTTGTCGATGCTCTCAATCGCCACTCTAGCAACTCTACATCTAGATCTAATTACATATATAATGATGTTCTCCACCGTCATGTATAAAAACTTTCTTAAACAAAAATTGCGTAAAAAAGTTTTTGATAATGTTAAGGATTTTTTGGATGCTAATTACCCCTGGGAATAAGATGATCGCTACAAGTTATTTCTAATTTGTTTTGTATACTTAGTTAATTGTGTATAACATAATATATAAAAGTTCTTTTTTTAATAAAAGTCCCGCTAGATATCTTGCTGATTCTTTCCAGGAAATATTTTCCAAACCAGTGCAGTGGTTAATTAAACTCAAGAATGATTTTCAATAAATATTATTTTAACAAACCTATTTAAATAAAACTAGTTTTTACGGATTATATCACGAATATTAACTTATTTTATATTCCCGACGTTTCAAGCACTTTGCAGCACCCATGGCCACGGGGAAACAGATGTTCGACGTCCCAATGTCATAGTTTGCAGCATTAACCACGGCTACCACACATGGATGATGTGAAGAATAGACGCTCCAGGAAGTCTGCAGTCTTTGAACACGTACAAAACCGCCCCGGTCACTACATCAGATTTATAGACCACAAATCCTCGCTAAAGAACACCGATTCCTTCCAAGGATGATTCGCGAGGCTATTGAAATCAAAAAACATCTTAATTTCAATAGAGAAGATTGCTGGGTGCTACCTTTTGCTTGGGATCCTATAACAATTAATAAAAATAAAACCCAACCCAAGCACACAACTACAAGACTTCAAGATACTATACGTTCATACTTCGTAGATCGAAACAAAAATTAATGATTTTAATCTGGAGGTAGCTGTGGTTAACTATGACATTGGGACGTCGAACACCTGAGTCCCCATCGTGACCATGGGTGCTGTATAGTACTCGAAACGTCGGGAATATAAAATAAGTATACGCGATAAAATCAGTAAAACCCCGTTTTATTTGAATGTGGTGTTCGCGAAAACATAATAAATCATTATGTAAACCAACCTAATTACTGATTTTGGCCCGACCTAGGATTCGTATCCAGTGTTCATGATCAGCAATTGCGTTTACAACCACTAGACCAAAGAAGCAGTCAGATCTAAGTATAGATATAAAATAGTTACACCGCCATCTATCGGAGAAATCAAAGATCTTTCTGGATTTTCCTATAGCCTCTTACTAGACCCACGTGATCATATCGGGTGATGGATACTCTAACGTCACCAAAACGAAGCTCATTTTAATGTTATCTATTTCTAATAGCGCAGGTAATATCACAACTGGCGTGGTTCATCTTGACGGTGACCATTGGCGTGTTCCTGTACCAGCTGGTCGTAATGCAGCTAATATATTTCGTGTTTCTGAGACGGAATCCCTTTAAATTCTACTGGGGATTGTCCAACGCGATGCTTACGGCTTCAGCTACCGCTTCCACGTAAGTTTCTATTATGAAATAAAGCAAAAATAAAGAAAAAGATAAAAATGAAAGAAAACGAAACGTAGGTATTTATTTAAAAACACAAATTATGAAGTGATGAAACGTAATAAAAGTCAAAACAAAAAGGAGAAAATCGTACATCTTAAAAGTAAAATTTAAAATAATGTGGTATCAAAAATGGTTACCGCCTATGTGATACTGATTCCCTGTTTTAACACAGTACTGACTGGCTTTCAGTCGATTTGTTGTGTCCATGGACCCTAGGAAATCAGGACATTCCGCGCAGACACACGACGATTCCAGAATAATGTAACATAGTCACTTCTTACGACACGTTCGAGACGAAATGGGATAATGCTGGGGTTCCCAAAATTCCCCATTCACAGGTATTGTACTTTGTCACAATGCTCTCGCCCTTGCATATGTAATTTCAAATGTGTGAAATTACATTAATGTTAGAAAGAATGAAAACGACGATACAAAAGAATACTTTTTAATAGACAAAAAAATGTTGTGTATCTGCCTCAACAAAGACTATATCACTGAATTAATATGTACTATACGTATAAGTACATTATACTTCATTGATGTACGCATTGCAAAGTATGGAGTGTAGAAGTAAGGAGTACCAACTCCCATAGGAGAATAGTTGAAAAAGTGTCCATCTGTAAGCAGTAAATAACAGTTCAAAAACTCTCCACTACAGCGCTCGAGTAGCTACGGGGTATGTAAAATACGTTGAGTGATTTTGTAAATAAAAATTTTGGAAGCAATAAAATAATTATTGTAAAAAGAATTATGGTGAAAATCTGTGCAATAAAAAATTATAAAAAGTACTTTAAAATTTAGACTGTAGCTACAGTGGCGCCACCTATTTAGCGCTTTTCCTACGAACACTTTTTTATACAGAGTATGTACCCCTTACCTCTACACTCCATAGGTAAAGTTGTTTTAAACGACTATATATCAATAGCATGCTACAGACTATAAACTAGAAATTTCTGCAGCACGCAAAATTTCATAGCACGTTACAATACCACTATCATTCTCACTATCGTTATCATTGTCATAATTCTATATTTTCAATACATATTAATTACTTTTATGATAAAACCAAGATACTTCTGTTTATACTATTTCGTGTTCAATGGATTTTAAGGACAAAAATTAATATAAAAATATACAATCACTAAAACTGCTTGTGTTCTATTAAGAAGAATTATTTTAAATTTACTATAATTAACGAGGTATTCAATTAAAATATATTTGGCGCCTACATCATTTCTATTCCGCGAAAGACACTATTATCCATCTCAATCAGACTCAGACTACACGCATGTATTTGTTTCGTCCTGTTTCGCTACACTGAATGCTAATTGGCTATCTTTTAAAATTGTTGATGGAGGCTTTGTTCGCGCCCTTAAATAATAATAATGCAGTTTTCACTTTCCAGCGCCGCAGCTCTGCCAGTGACTTTTCGTAGTATGGAAGGCCGTTTACAAATAGACCCTCGGATCACCCGCTTCGTATTGCCAATTGGTTGCAATATCAACATGGACGGCACGGCGCTATTCCTGACTGTCGCCAGTCTATTCGTGTGTCAGATGAATGATATACATCTTGGCTTTGCTCAGTTAGCTGCTGTTTTGTAAGTCGCTCTATGTTATATTTTTTTTAAATAAACGCATGCACTAAGCGTACACTACCTTGTTCCGGTTGGAAGGGATTAGAGATATTTTCATTTATTATAGTTGTAGTATGAATGGGTCGCCTCGATCGAGAGAGGACCACGCTCTCACAGAATGCCAGCGTAAAATAGCAGCTTGATGCTGCTGTGTTTCGTATGATGAGTGTAGAGATCCGGAGACCCTTTTTCTAGAAACAAGGCATTCCATCTTAGTCTTCAGGGGTGACAACGCATCTGCGTTTTGATTCTTAATCGAGTCAGTGGTCGATCGATCGATTCTTAGGGGAATCTAATCTCAAATGACATAGCAAGATCCTTCGTCATGCCGAAAATATTGCAGCATTAATTTTGAAATAAATATATGGTAAAGTTGAGGATTAATGTTAAGGATTATGTTAGGCGAAAACACGATTTCGTAAAATTTTCTCGATAGAAAAAAAATCCAAAGTTACCTCCAAAATAAACAATAAACCGCTGTTATTCATAAAATACTTTAAATAAGATCATGAAACTTTGCATACTAACTGAACTAACTATAAAGCAGTGCTTATGTTATTTACTTTTTTTAAAATACCATTATTTTCACTGTAAAAAGAAATTACCTAAACTATCGGCGCGTAATTTTGATTCCTGTCGCCCCGTTAGTATCGCTCCGGCTTTTGAAGGGAGGAGTTACGTCGCTTATGATCAGAATACACATTACGCAACAGGACGACGTAAAATTAAAATGGGAAATAACCGTAATAAAAATAAGAAGCGACTGGCTTGGCGTTAAGAAACAGGTATAAATATGATAAACCCAATTAAATAAGTGTCTAACGACCTTTCTACTTACAGTATTAGTGATTACAAACATGTCGGTACATAGCAAACGACGCGCGGGCAAGTGGGGATGAAATTAGAATTTGAGCTGACTTACTACTCGTATATCCTCTTAATCTAATCTTATAAATGACTGATTTTAGATGATAGGTTACGTATTGCCATCTGACGCCATTGTAAGAAAAGACATAATACAAATTGTCACCTGCGCCATCTTTTAAACACACTCGGAACTATGTTGTGAAAGCTATTGCATGAAAGCTACTTACCTTACGCTCACCAGACGTCGCTAGCTTGGATAAAGTTAACTTGTTTCTTATATAGATATGTTATGATGTAGTGTTATGATCATTGAAAAGTAGCAGACTAATTATAAGTTGCTAGTACTAAAGTATATAAATGCCACGTTGGGTTATTCATTATTTTTTTACACATTTTTAACGTTTTTCTAATTATTCAACTATAAGGAATATCCGAATCAATGCGAATAGTAACACAAAAATATAAGTAGTTTAATATATCCATTTCAAACCAGATTAAAATAAAATACATACATACCTATATGGATACCTTTACGGATTCCAAACCAGTTCAATTAAGCCCCCTTGATCCTGACACAGGTACTATAGTCCCTATGAAGAGATTACCAACCCAGCGTTCAGCCTAAACGAGTCTAGTGTTTGCCATAAAACATTCCTGTCTACTCTATCTTAAGCCCTCTTCTTGTCCATGAACGCACAGAAAACGTTCTGGTTTTTAGCCAAAATCATGAGTAGACTTGATCCGTACACCCCATTCCCTTTTCTAAATCCAGCTTACATATCTGAAAATGTTCCATCGTTTCTTTCATGACTCTTTCAACCAACCTTAGCATACAGTTTTCCCAAAAAGCTAAGCAGACATACTACTGTAGTTTTTATAGTCCTGCTGTGACCTTTTTCCTTTCCTTATTTGTTTGTTGTTGCTGCTATGAATGCAAGATATTGCATAATGTTGTCAGACCGCCGGCCATGCTCGGCAACTATGACAAACTCCTCCTCAATGAGGCAATCTATGTTAAAATCAAAGTCAAATATTTTAATTGAAAATTGGTGTTTACAAAGCACTTTTGGAAAGTCAAATGCTTCAACAAGTTCCTTTTGGAGACTTTGTGAGAAGAAGCGGCAAGAAACATACAAGTATGCTATTTTTCTACCAAAAGTTACAATTTATTCTTCAAAGTCTAAGGAAGCTTTTTATGTTCACACATTCTTATCTATTAAATACTCATCTGATAATTAACATTCTTTCATCATAAGTATATGATATAAATTTTGATTATATACTTTTATTATTATCATTTAAAACATATTGCATATTATATTTATTCTATATGACTTTAATTGTAAATTACACTTTGGAAATCTCATATCCGATCTCCACATGCAACGCTCAATTCATGTCTAAGAACAGTATAATCGATAAGTATGTAATAAGGCCAAGAGGGGGAGCCAGGAGACCCATAGCACAGGGTAACCTAGTTTGGGCTCCTGTCTCCCACTACTACTCAAAAACTCTTTAACTATTTATGAAACTATTGTAATTATGTAAAAAGTGGGAGAAATAAATGTTTATTATTATTATTCTTATTAAGAGTGCTTACTGTGTATAGGCGGTGTTAGAATATCACCTCGTGGGTATCGTAAGAGGCGACAGAGAGAAACTAATTAGGAGATGGGCAGCAGCGTCTTCCTGATAGCGACCAAAAATAAAAAATACTGCGTATGCCAACCCGCTTGCCAAGCGTGGTAACTTTGGCAAACATCTCCCATGTGAGGCAATCTACGGATTGTACGGTTAGTGTTTCTAACAAGCGCTTTGAATTTTTGCAAGGGCAAATCAGGGAGGATCAAAATCGGGGAGGCCTAAGTTCAGCAGTGGAGTTTTATGGGCTGTAAATCTGTAATGTATAATGAGGGTTATATAGTGGTGGGATGTGGTCAGACTAGCGTCGACGGCAGCCTCGCTGTCGTCTGCGTCGGTGCCGTCGGCGGCGCTGGTGCTGCTGCTGGTGGTGCTGGCGACGGTTGACGCGCCCACGCACGACGTGTCGCTGCTGTTTGCCGTCGACTGGCTGGTGTGAGTACACCATTATTTTATTTTTCATAGAAGTAGACTGACTGACTACATTAACGTGGTAAAGCCACGCTGTAGCTATATTGTCGTCGTAACATGGGCAGCTAGGCTTGACTAGGACCACGCGCTGACAGAATACCAGCGTAAAACAGCAGCTTAAAGCTGTTGTGTTTCTTATGGTGAGTGTAGAGCTCCGGAGACCCTTTTTACTATAACTGAGGCATTGCATCTTAGTCTTTAGTCCTTATTGCCTCGTTCTCAGTAGAAGGGTCTCTATTTCTTTGCACTTATGCGAAACACGGCAGCATCAAGCTGCTTTTTCACGCTTGTATTCTGTGAGAGCGTAGTCTTTCCGGTCAAACTGACCCATTCGTTCTATTACCATAATATAGCTGCAGCATTGCTTTACCACAAAAAATTGCAATATAATGCTACTGTGTTTCGTACAGTGAGCGACGGGAACAACGCATCTGCATTTTGATTTTTAATAGAGGATAGATGTAGCTGTGGATAGGCCACGGCATCCACTTAGCATCACGCAGATATTGGATTTTTTTTAATCAACTACCTTTATATACATTTTGTTTCTTTTATATTTCAGGGATCGAATTCGAACTACTAATAACATGCTGGGCGATTGCTATGCAGCGGCAATCGTGGAACATCTCTCGAAGAAAGAGCTGATGGCTTGTGACGCTGCTCTGACGGTGAGAAATAATTTAAATTGACTGGTTGTTGTAGCAAATTGTTAATGGAATTATTAACTTAGTACAGAAAAACTCTAATGACGTCAACGCTCCGTCCCCCTCGTGCTCTAATCCAGAATCCCGAAACTTTTCAGCTCGAGTTACGTAACCGCTTCCAGTGCCTAGAAGCTTCCAATGCAGTGGATTATATAAATGACAAGCTCGTGGAAACTGTCCATGCGAGCTCGGACAGCTAAGTTCTGGAAGACCCGCCGCAGAAGAACACAAAAACTCTCCGATCACACTCTTAATCTCATGTCTGTTAGACGGGAGATGAGGCTGCAATCGTCAACAGATTTGACAGCATACAGGCAACTGAACAGACAGATCTCCAAATGCATGCGGCGAGACTTACGCAACTTTAATTCTGCTGCAGGGCTCCAAAGTCTTTGCCAGAGATCTGTCTGCCAGAAAGAGCCAATTGTCAAAGCTGAAGACTGAGTGTGGCAGCATCGTTTCCGGGACACCTGAGATTCTGAGTGAGATTGAGAGGTTCTATGGGCAGCTGTACACATCATCGTTGTGCCAGCCACACGCAAATGTTAGTAACGATCCAAGAGCAAGTCTTATCCGACACTATTCCGATGATATCCCGGACGTCAGTCTGAGGGAGATTAGAATGGCTCTCCACCACCTTAAAAACTGCAAGGCCCCCTTAAACACTTCTGAAAGCGGGTGGAACACCGGTACTTGAAGTCCTTCAGAAGCTCTTCAATTCCGTCCTCCATGGCGGCACTACTCTGGAGGGGTGGAGCAGAAGTGCGGTGGTCTTATTCTTTAAGAAAGGCGACAACGCTCTCTTGAAGAACTACAGACCGATTTCCCTTCTGAGCCGCGTCTACGTGCTGTTTTCGAGAGTCATTACGAACCGTCTCGCACGCAGACTCGACAACTTCTAGCCTCCCGAACAAGCCGGTTTCCAAAAAGGCTTCAGTACCATAGACCACATACATACCCTGCGGCAGATTGTATGGAAGACCGAAGAATACAATCTGCCACTTTGCCTGGCATATGTGGACTATGAGAAAGCCTTTGATTCCGTCGAAATTTGGGCGGCGCTACAGTCCCTTCAGCGATGCCAAGTTGACTGTCGGTATATCAAAGTGCTGAAGTGTTTGTACAGTAGGGCTACGATGGCTATCCGAGTACAGAACCAGAGTTCGAAACCTATCTAACTGCAGAGAGGTGTAACACAGGGTGATGTTATATCCCCAAAACTCTTCACCGCTGCGTTGGAAGACATTTTCAAGCTACTGGACTGGAAAGGATACGGTATTAACATCAATGGCGAGTGCATCACTCACCTTCGATTTGCCGACGATATAGTCCTTATGGCAGAATCGCTGGAGGACCTTGGCACTATGCTCAATGACCTTAATGGTGTCTCCCAACGGATAGGTCTTAAGATGAACGTGGACAAAACAAAGATCATGTTTAATGTCCATGTCACACCTATGCCGGTAGTTGTTGGGAGCACTATGCTCGAAGTTGTTGACGAGTACGTTTACCTGGGACAAATAGTCCGACTAGGTAAGTCCAACTTCGACCGAGAGGTCAATCCACGGATTCAACTCGGCTGGGCAGCGTTCGGGAAATTACGACACATCTTCTCGTCAGGTATACCTCAATCTCTGAAAACTAAAGTGTATAACCAGTGCGTGTTGCCAGTGACGACTTACGTATCTGTAACGTGGTCCTTCACTGCTGGCCGTATGAGGACGCTCAAGGTCGCTCAGCGAGCTATGGAGAGGGCTATGCTCGGAGGTTCTCTGCGTGATAGACTCAGAAATATGGATATCCGCAGTAAAATCAGAGTGACCGGAATAGCCCAACGGATTAGTAAGCTGAAGTGGCAATGGGCCGGCCATATAGCTCGAAGAACCGATAACCGATGGGGAAGAAAGGTTCTCGAGTGGCAGCCTCTTAACGGTAGGCGTATTGACGACCTGGTAAGACATGCACGAAGTCGATGAATACAGGTGGCTCACGACCGTGCTTTATGGCATTACTTGGGGGAGGCCTATGTTCAGCAGTGGACTTGTGAAGGGCTGTAATGATGACGATGATGATAGAAAAACTCATCATACACAATTTAAGACAAAATTGACTAGTTGTTGTAGTTGTTACGATTCGCCAATTAAGACAGGCGTAGGTCTTCTCGTAGTCTAGTCTGATATATATTTTATTCATAAACTCTTCATAATAAAAATTGATGAGTTATTTCAGGAGTCCCTCTATTCTAGTAATTACTTCATATAAGCAAAATTGCAAATTATATTGATTAGTTGTTGTTTTTGTAACAATTTACCAATTAGGGCAAGCAAAGATGTTATACCATACAGCCTAGTCTAATGCAAATTTTGTTCAAACTAGAATATCTTTAATTCCTGACTTTCTGCAGTAGTATGACTGAAGAAAAATTTGTTCAAGATTTCAAACTCTATATTTTAACATATTTTTTCATTTATCGACGCAAGAAAAAAAGTCAACAAAAATTTGTTGGGAGTTCGCCAGTCTTTTCCTAATTTTGTAGTTTTTGGAGTGGTTACTTTTTTAGGCACATTGGTCACTTTTCGTATGGGTAAAGTATGTAGTAGGTAGTATGGGTTCACATCACCAACATGCTGTAATAGCAGAATATCCACCGTTATTATAGTATAGTTTTAAGTTTTCACTTCAGTTACCATTTCAAATCCTGCCTATTTTATTAAATGTTATCTTTAATAACCATGTTATTAAATCGAGTTGCAAACAAAACAGTATCGTTTTTGAGTAAAAATTAAGTTTGATTGAGTTATGGTTTAAAAATAAATTCATAATTACACATTCTCTTTTTTAATAAAGGTAGAACACTGACGAGGGCAAATCATTTCATAGAACGGCCCATTCTGGGCACAGGGCTCCTCTTATTTCTGAAAGGGTTTTAGGGCAAAATAGTGTCAGCCGCGCTGCCTCAATGCGTGTTGGAGAGCTTTACATGTCTTCGAAGTATATTTTTTTCTTATTTCTCAGACATACATCATGGTTTCGTCATGATGTTTTCCTAAATCAGCACTTGAAATTGGAAGCTTTTTGCATTGCAGGTTTTTCGCGTACTGTAAAAATTACAGCGAGCGCTTAGCACCCGAGCTACCTCGGCTCTCGGTAAAAAATATTAAGTATTACTTTTTTTTTTCAAAAAGTCCTCATTTCATTCTCAGGTCCAGAGAATGTTATGTGTGAGGTTAAATTAATCATTAGTTATTTTTTACAATAAAAGGGTGACGAAAGAGCACTCGGTCCACACAATGAGTTACCTTCTTTTGGTGTCTACCTTTTAAGCCGGAATGCTGTATTCCGGCTTAACACATGCACTGCTGCTTAGCGACAGCAGGTCCAACCAAGTACTAATCCAGACGGTGTACTTGCCACCTAGCCAGAAAAAGAATCTTAGGACCTTGTGCGTAGTTTTAAAACATTCACTTTGTGTTCGTTTAATTTAGTGTTTCCAAAAATCTATATTAAATAAGAATTATTTATTTTATTTATTAAATTCAAAGTCTTTAGTGGCATCGTAATGAAATTCACTACCTCTTCCCGAGATTTATTTTTAATTATGTTTATCATCTTGTACCTTGTGTGTTTTTGTGTTCTTATTTACTTCCAAATGTATAATTTTGAGTGAGTTAAGGCTAATAAAACCTAAGTGCAAAGTAAAGCAATAGTTTGGAAACAAAAAAAAAGTTGTTTTGTGCAATATTAGTTTTAATTAATATAATGAAAATAAACATATAAATAAAAATTCATGATTGTTTAATAAATGCTTTACAAACATATATTTAAATTAGTAGTTCCCTTCTTTAAATAAAATTACATTTTACAGCCTTCTACTTTTTTCTGCCAAACCCCCTATGTCTAATAAATTTTATCCGGCCTTTTCAGGACCCAACGGAAGCGAATGGTTTGCTGCAGACATCGAGCACTGAAGTGGATTTGGAGATAGTAACTCCTGGCGACAAATCTATAGCATCGGATGACGTCATCATCGACATGCATTTACACAATAACCCGAGTTCACCCAATAATAAGGTTTAGTCTGAAGTTGGACCTACACAAGCGAAAATTATTTAGCCCGCAGTATTAGAACCTAGAGAGGTATTAACTTTCCGCTTCTGCCCGAACAAGTGCCTAATTTAGCTATTTCATTGTCCACTGAATTATCTGAAGCATGAGACTCGCAGAAAATATACAATAGATATGTTTCTATTTAAGTATTATCTCTGCGACTCGTACTTTGACAGGCTTACAGAGACTAGTCTGATATGTATTTTATCCTTCACGATATGCCGATACGTGACATTGCAAAGTTTTAGGAAGCCTCCAGCGGATAAAAAAAAGATTTATATCACCATCGAATCACTTTCCAGTAATCGTTCAGATGTGTAGATATTGATTACACAAAATCGAAACTATTGTTCGTATCATAACCACTTCGAATTATTATTGAACTAATATTACAGGAGCAACAATCCGCCGGCTGAATAATCCATTTAAACTAACTATTAAAAATGAAATTACTATTGAATTGATGATCTCATCTTTTTTGAAGTCGGTTAAAAAAACTTATTCTAACAACTTGAAAATAATTATTTTATTTCGAATGAGCACTAACTAGTTTAAATAAGGGATTATTATGAGACTTAATAAGAGAATTAACGGAATGATTCGGGTATAAGTTTTTAAGATCATTTTAAGGTTATTCACGTGTTTAAGATCAATTTATTTAAACATATTTCATTTTAACTAAAAGTTTTAATTCCTATATACTGTACAACTCATTGAGAGTCCTCGTTGTAAATTTTATAGTTTGATCCCCGCGAGCACCAATAAAAAAATTATTGCAATTTTAAATGCTGATTGTGCCGAGCCATGTGCTCGGCGGTGAAGGAACTTACAAGTCTAAGAAATAAAATATTTCGAGGATATGTGAAGTCCGCCAACATGCATTAGAATAGTGTGGCAGACTAATTGCTTTCTGTAAAAATTTCGAGTAAATTTGTAGCTAAAACGGACTATAAGATCACGCCACAACTACGTCCTTGTACATAGGGTGATGCCCTAGGTCACAGATCAGCAACACCCGCTCATTAGGGTGCCATGACAGGAGGATTTTGAGCTCAGCAGTAGGCTGCATAATGACGTGTGTCAGTCGTGAATGATTCGTTAATTGGACCCGGGTCAGATCACAGTATTGATGATTGCAATTACGTTTTGTAACGTTCCTGATCAAACAATTCACATTACTAACGACCAAAGAGGTTAGTAATGTCTGACGTCGATAATCGTGCGGGCCTCGCGGATCACAGAGTACTGAAACTCGAAATGATCCATTTGAATGATCGACTTGAATCACCCACGGATCGTAACACTTGATTTATCAGGTCACTGATAATTAATTCCGAATGACACATGTCTACCGCATAACGTCTGTAACTGTAAGTTTTATACCATTCACTGCATCAATCTATTGCAGATTCGTAGCAAGAAATGCTTCCTTCTTTTTTTCGAAATTTTTTCTAATTCCTATATTTACCAGATTTAGATTTAAGCAACTTAGTACCTATGATAAGACTAGTTTTATTCGGCCTTCGTGCCTTATATCTATAAACCATAAAAACGGATTATTATGACGCTATTAGCTCTATTTAAAATGATTCTTGTTGAACATGCGTAGTAGCTTGCGCAAGTACAAATAATTGTACTTACGCCAGCATTCTAGCGTTGTTGTTCACTTTCAACTACTTTGGTTAGAGACTTTACTAAGTCACTGGTATGATCAATATAACTTTGTTTAGAGACTTTAGTAAGTCACTGGTACTGGTATGAGCAATATAGTTCTTTTACCCACCGCGTTCGAACGACAGATAAACATAGAGCTACGCAGGCCCGGTCGCTCTTGCCCAAGAACTCATCTTCATTTTGGTTCTTGATCGAGGATGGATGTAGATGTCTGTGGACAATTTTGTTCAGTTTGTCACCCATACTCTATTAAAAGGTAGATCGGAGGCTTGGCGGTCAATTGCATATCATATTATTTTCGTCAATTTTGCTTGTTGTGCCTATATATGCTCCCCTATGTCCCTCTTCATTATTAGTGCTACCTTAAAAATATTATTATTATATTTTTTTAATATATTAAGTACTATATAATCAGTAGAACTTTAAGTAATAAATGGCAATTTTTATAAATAAACGAAATTTACTGCCTTGGACTTATGAAATTAGTTACTGTGTATCCAAAGATTTAAAGACAGAAAAAAAGACTTTTGGTATGGTTTTGTAAGATGCAAATAATGTTTCAAATTAATACATTAGAAATAAATCACAGAGGGAAATACGTAGAGTACGACAGGGGTTCCCAAACTTTTTCAGTTCGCGGCACACTTACAGATTTAGTATTTTGTTTCGGCGTCTCCCTAACTGGTCGAAATAGGGTACAATGATGCAAGGTAGATTAGACACAAAAATCAAAATCCACAGTATGAATCTGAGTAACTTTTATATTTATATTGACCCAGAAGAATACATTCATTATTTACGAAAAATAGGAAATAAAATGCAATGACAACTTAGTTGACTTGTGAGCTTGGTGATCTCCTCACATTTTACACACCATCGCTTATCCCATTTCTTGCTTCACATTGATCTTTGAGTGATATTTGCTAAGTTCTGTTTTCGGAGAATAATAAACAGGAGCGCCTTATGGCACCCCTGTCTATTCTTTACGGCACACCAGGGCGCCACGACGCTCGCTTTGGGAACCCCTGGAGTATGTGTTTTAATAAGAGACGAACAAAGAAAGATAGGCAGAACTATCTAAGTAACGCTCAAACCATGCTTGACTTCTTGACACGCACTCACGCACACATCTTTCTTCTTTTTTTATTATTCAGACTTACAAAGTCCATTGCTCGGCACACACACATGCATCGAAAATTATTTACCTGCAAATTATTTTAGATGAATATGTATGTGTGAGTGCGTCTGCTTGCAATAAGTTGAGCATGGCTGGTTTGATTGCTTAAAATACTTATTCTTCAGTCTATCTGTTTTCGTTTTTACATTTTAGTAAAAGACAAGTAAAAGATTACAGCGTATGTACTCGTAGTACCTTTATTCTGTTTTTGAAGCTAGTGTTGTGAAGTCTGCTATTAACCGGTCAAAACCACTTGTCAGCAAAAATCAGGCAAAAGTAGTTTTGAATAAGGATGTTGGTCAAAACCACTTTCAACTGCAAAAATATTGGGAAATAAGTGATTTTGATAAAATTTTATCGGTTAAAAGTATTTTTGAGAAATTAAAAAAGCCAATTCTAAAATTATATTTCATATCACTATACATTAACCTAGTGTCACTGAGTTTTAATCAAGCAAAACCATTTTTGACTAAAACATTAGTCAAAACTGTTTTTGCCCGATTTTAGCAGTCAAAAGTGGTTTTGACCGGTTATAAGTTTTGACTGTGACATATATAAATATAGATTATAAAATTGGAGTCTGTTTGTAATCTATAAAATAAATACAAATGAAGAGTCTGTTTGAAATATTAAAATAACTGACTGCAAATTAGCTCAGGGGTTTATTTGGATGCTATTAAGTCATAAATAACCACTTTTAAGAAATTTCTCTGTCTGTCTGTCTATCTTCGCGAGCTTGTCTTCGGAACGGCCGAGTCGAAGGTAATGAAACTTGCCGAACAGGTAGAGAACAAAGTCAGGACAGATGTATTTCATCAGAAAAACTTGGATATTATTTTTGAAGGATCTAAAAATTAATATAATCATTGGTCTTTGATGATTTTCACAAATCGAAATGACGCCACATCAATAGATCTTACCTAGGCGGACCCGGGGTAGGTCGCTAGTAATACAGAATAATGACAGCAACATGTTCTATGTTGTTCTGTTTATAAATATTTGTTCCCTCTTTGAAAGACAGTAGTGAAATTATGTGCATGGGTGTCTTATAAGAAAAATAAGTCCAATATATTTGCCAAATTGAATATGAAAATGTGAAATGCCACGGCGGCCTACGCATTATGTCTCATTTTTGATACTAGTACCTATTGATAATTATTAGGCAATATGTTCTTAGATGTCGTGTTTGTATTAAGTCGGTAGACTTAGATCCAACTGTGATATACCAATGTATAGTGATTTATCATGTATGTTCGATTTCCGTAATGATTTATATCAAATAAAATAATTTCAAAAAATATTTTCAATGTTTTATTCTTTTTAAGTTATCATCGCAGCCAATCGTTGAAACGTAAGTAGCTTTATAAACAAAGAATATTTACATTCACTCTAATTCATATCAAATTGATTAAAAGATCTGTTATATTATAAAATAAAATATATTGCTTTCAATCAACCAGAGATATGTACGTGTCGATTTGATATGAATCGGAGTTACCTAGACATGTAGAATACTAAGATGAAAATCACAGTACAATAAGGTTTTTACAATATACATTCAGATTGTGAAGGCACGAAAAGTTTACTTACATTTACACTTAATTTGTGATTGTATTACGCAATAATAGGTTACTTTACATTCTTACTATGGTTACTTAATATTAAAATTGCAATAGTTATCTAAGAGTACACTTATAGCTTAGAGTAAAGCTGTTTCGTTTGTTTTTAAAGTAAATTAACATGGCAGTCTTCATTTTATATTATACAAGGCGCTAGAATATACAAAATATTATGTACATATACAATTAAAACCCGAATGAAGACGATATTTACATTTACCGGAAAAATCGGTAATAAGCGCTTATAAATCACTTTGAGCATATTCAGGCAATAAGTTTTACAAATAACATGCACAAAATGACATTAAAATTTAAAGAAACTAGTCCGATTACATCGGTGATCAATAAATATTACTATAGTTATCAATACTTATAGGCAAAACAGTCAATATAACGATTCGTATATTTACAGACTACTAAATGTATTATTGTCTAATTTCATATCCTCATAGTTGAATGCGGAGGTTTTCTGTTGACTGGAGCAGGTGGTAACCCTGGTCCTACTAAAGGAGACATAGAAGGAGACCTCGTAGCAAGAGGTGATAATGATGGTGAAAATGACGGAGACATGGCTGCAGCGGCAGAGAATCCGCCAGGAACATCGTGACTTATTGGCGACCTCGGTAACAAATGTTGCGGTTGCCTACAAGACAGCGAAGGGGCTGGACAACTTCTAGGAGCAACCGTCGTTAATAGAGGTGGCGGTACACTTTTTCCAGCAGATATAGAAGTTCCTTTGCTTTTAGCACTAGATGCACCACTGTTACCACTTTGAAGCGAAACGGCATCGTCTTTTAAATGTGCTATTTCAGAAAACACATGAGCTAACGGTTGATATCTAGGCCCCCAGTCAAGAAGATAATCCCAGTTGTAGCTACCTGTCAGCTCTTCTTCAGAGTGTACAATAGAGCTCAGACTTCCTGTCATAGAAGGACCAGCAGTGGGTACAGCGGTACTTTCTCCTGGAGCACTCGGGAACGCTCCCAAAGCCATAGCTCTATCCACAGCTGCGCTAGCTTCGTCTGCGCTACTTGCTCTTTCACTACCAGTTACTTCATTTAACTTTGCATAAATGAGATTTGTTATGTCATTTTCGTGAGCTCCGTCTTCGTCGAAAATATGCATCGAATCTATTGGTCCGTGATGTAACATCGTTTCTTTGTTACCAACGTTCTCCGAACACCTTCTAGAGGATGTTGAGGCTCCACCACCTGTATTTGTATCCACTATACCAAGTCTTGCTAGATACTCTTGAGTATTATGCACTGAAACATCGGAGAGATTATCATCGTCTACTCCATTAGCTTGTCTATGCATGCCCGAATCTCTTTGTAGGGGACCTTCATTTATCATTCTAATTTCCTCATCTTCGCCATCTTCCCCATCTTCAGCTGATCCTCTACCACTAGACCCCGATTGCTCAGATCCAGAGAGTTCAGAAGTGGTGGCAGCACCAGAGTTAGAACTAGCAGTATGGGCACCATATGGAGGGATTTCATCGTATTTAGGTGGGGCAAACTGGTTTCCTGCATTTACAGGACCCGTGTTTCTTATTGGAATTGTATCGAAACCACTAGGATCAACGTAGCTATTTGTCGCACCTACACCTTCAGAATTCAAACCTGGCTTATTTACTTTCTTGTGCCTTTTGTTCTTCATATGGAGAAACAAGAATGCTGCAGCAAATATAATTATTATAAATATAAATGCAATAAGTAATCCTAATGCCCAATCTGATAGTCCACTGCTTTGAGCGACTGATGTATCGTTCACTAAATTAGTATTACCAGATATTGCTGCTAGTGGATCAAGCAATATTTCTACAGCAGTCTTATTAGTTAACGAACCCTGCCTTCCAGAACTCGCAGTCACCACCAAGCTTATGGATTTATCAGTTCCAAATAAATTTTGTACTGAATCAACTTTTTTCTTCAAAATGATGACACCCGTAGTCCTGTTTATTTTGAAATATGAATGTGAAGTGGATAATTGATAAGCAATGCGACCGTCAATACCTTTGTCTTTATCTGTTGCAGTGACTTGACCTATAACATAACCCATTGGTAAGGAGCCTGATTTCGGAACTCCAAAGTTGTAAGTTTTTTGGGTAAATTGTGGGTAAAATTCATCACGACTTTCCACATCTATTCTTACTTTTACAGTAGAGCTCTTGCCTCCAACATCAGAAGCTTTGATAGAAAATTCATATTTGTTTTTCTGTTCATAATCAAAAACAGCGTTAGAGTTTACCAATCCTGAAAACGAGTCTATTTGGAACATTTTCCAAGAATCATCATTTCTATTATAGTTTGTTGTACTTGGTAAAATAGAATAATTTAATGTTCCATATTTTCCTTTGTCTAAATCGGTCGCTCTAGCCGAAAACACAGAAGTACCAACTCTTTCATTTTCACCGATGGTCTCAAAATATTCGGACACAGGGAATGTGGGTGCGTTATCATTTTCATCAAGTATATCTATTTCTATGGACGCTGCACTACACAAACATGGTTTACCTTGATCGCAGGCGACTATAATAAGCTTATACTTAGGGTTTCCAATATCGTAGTCAAGTATTTTATTTACTGACAAAAGACCTGTAGATGGATGTATGTAAAACAATTTTTCGTCGTCTCCAGAAGTGATGTTATAAATAACAGCTGAGTTAGGTGTACCAAATAAATCCGCATCCGTTGCTGCCATATGAGTTAATGTGTGACCAATTTTAACATTTTCACTGACTGATAAATTAAAATCACTCAGATTAAATAAAGGTGCATTATCGTTGGCATCTGCTACAGTCACAAATACGGTTACAGACGTTTTATTTTGATTATATGACAACACTTTTCCCTGTTCGACTGCTGCTAGGCCTAGCACGTATGAATCTTGAGTTTCTCTGTCAAGTTTATTGACTAATATAAGAGCACCTTCTATGGTCATATCAAAGACATCCCCGTCGTTTCCAGAGATTATATGAAAATCAAGATTATATTTCTTAAGTACATCGTTGATTCCACCTATTTGCAGCAGCGACGACCCTTTCTCCGTATCTTCGTTAATAGTTATTCTGAAATTTAAAAAAAAATATATTTTTTTATTCGCTCCATAACCGTAATGGAAAATATTATTATTTTTTAGTACAATCAAATTATTGGCAATATTTTAAGTTTTATAAAGTTTTAAAATTAGCTGTTCAATGATGATATAAATATTTGTTTATCATGAAATTATCATATATCTCTAAAGGGTCAATTCCGGACAAGGCTCGCTAATTTAGACGTGTATAATATTACAATCGGAAGATAGTTTGACCATCCCAGGTGTTTGGGATGATTAAGGTCTAGCAATGTAAGATATAGTTATTCTAATATGTCGGACACTATATTTTTTTGAGATTTTCAAACATTTATGATATCCGCATGATCGCGGATTAAATTCTCTTTTGCCTTCATCCTACAAAACTTTATTTAATTCATACAAGTAACAAAACTGATTCAATATAACGATTTTAAAGTTTTTATTTCTTATATTTATAAAAAAAAATTACCTATATGTATCTTGTCCAATGAATGGTTTGATCTCGGACGAAGCTCCTGTGCTTATCCGAACAGAAGCTATAGCACTTCTATTAGGCTTTCCATTGTCCGTAGCTACCACTGCCAGCTGTGCGTCCCGTTGATTGCTCGGCAGCGCACTGTAGTTCACGTATATAGCCCCAGTTGCCGTGTCTATATAGTATCCCTCGCTCGGCCGGAGGAATGAATAACTAACTTGTCCATTATCACCGCTGTCTTTGTCCCTGGCGTTAACTCTACCGATTTCAAGCGTACCAGTACCCTCTGCAAATTAATAATTTTCACATTATAATTTTCATGTATTTTCATACTCCGCGTGTTTTTACTGCAAAGGTGTAATAAAAATAAATAAAAAATCAAAGGCATTTATTTCTGTAATATAACTAAAAGTGAGAACCGATGACACACAATTTGAATAAATTTGGTTTTCGATATTTATTTTTCATTTGTTAATTTATTCATCATATTTCATTAACTAATTTAATCAAAATCAGTAGCGATTAACTATACGACGGTGATGTGCCCTCGTCTTGGTTTCTAGGTTTAGCATTTATGCAGACCATAATATTAACATGCATTTCACAAATAAATATTTTAGCTAAGAATTGGCTCGTTAGACATAACTATCGAGAAGTAGGAACACAAAATTTTGTTTATGCACAGCATAAATGGGCATTAAATGAAAATTAAATCACACAGTGCGATAATTCCCCATCAGGGAATGACGGTTATCGAGTGATCGAGTGGCAGCGTACTGGTATGCAATGGAGTGATGACCTAATACAGTTAGTCTAAACGGAGACTAGCCATCTGCGTAAGATTAGATTCGTACGAATTTTAAGGGAATGAGTAACCCCTAGGCGCATGACTTAGGTTTTACATGCATTTTAGGTACGGAGTTAAAATTTCTTGATCGCAAAAGCCAATAACTGATTTGTGGCCCGACCTGAGATTTAAACTCGGAACCATATGATCATCAGTCGCGCTAACGATCACTAGACTGGCGAGAAAGTCAGAAGAGAACTCAGAAGTCGTGTCAAGTTGGTATATATGCATATATATATATATGTGTGTGTGTGTATGTATGCATATATGACTGCCTCGTTGGTCTAATGGTTGTAGTAGTGCGACTGCTGATCATAGGGTTCTGGGTTCGAATCCCGGGTCGGGCCAAAAATCAATTATTTAGGTTTTCTGTCAAGAAATTCTCAGTAGTTGCCCGAACTCAGGTAGTTGGCGGTGTCTCACCCCCGTGCCTCGGAAAGCACATAAAGCCGTTGGTCCTGCGCCTGATCTCTCTCCGGTCGTGTCAGTTTACCGTCCCGTCGGATTATGAGAGTGAGGGAAGAGAGAGTGCACCTGTGCTTGCGCATACACTTGGGCACTATAATTCTGTCCTGCGACGACGGCTAGCCTCCGTTATGGCAAGCTGCCGTGGCCGAAATTCGGTCTGGAGGACATTATTAATACTATTATTATATAATAAATATATATATATATATAATATATATATATATATATATATATATATATATATATATATATATATTATATATAAAAAAAAATCATGTGTACTACTATTAAGGCTAAGAAGATAATTTAATTTCATTAGTCCGTCTGTCGCAAATATATCAAGCTTCCTCCTTCTATCATTCAGTTCGTTAATAACGCTTAGTTGGAAGTAGACCTCTACCCATTGCAAATTGGCCATCGCGGTCTTAAACAACACGCCTATCACATCTTTATCGCTGCTTACTATCACTAATCTATGTATTTTAAACCTGTTGTACCTGGAGAAACTTAAGAGTCATTAAAAGTAACCTACAAGGTTGCACTAACTGTTTCCAAAGTTGCCTTTTTAGATACCCATGTGATGAGATGGGGCAATGAAATTTCTCCGCCGCTACGAAACGACGTACGACGAATAAAATCACAGATTATAATAGCACATTTCTAGGCCAATAACTTGTACAAACCTCAAAGGAGTATTTAACCTTATTTCATACATTTAGTTTTGTAAAGAAACGTAAGTCTCTAAAATTGATATGCAATTAAATAAATAATAACCTCCAGACCGAATTTTGGTCACGTGGTCATCTTAATAAAGCCTAGCCATCTGCGTGGGGCAAGATTAAAGTGCACTAGTGCTTGTGCACCGGTACAATCTCTCTCCATCCTTACTTTCATAGTCCGATGGGACGTCAAGCTGACACGACCGGATAGAGACCAGGCGCGGGACAATTGGTTTGCGCTTAATGTGCTTTCCGAGGCACGGGAGTGAAATACCGCCAACTTCAATGCACCTGGTGTTGCAGTCGTTAATGTGTGACAGGTGAATACGGCTCCCCTAATTTATGGCTCATTTGACTTTTCTTCCATAAAACCAAAACATCCTTAATTTGGGATGCTACTGAAAATTATTTGACAGAAAAACCCGATAACTGATTTTGGCTCGACCCGGGATTCAAACACGCGATCTCATGATCTGCAGTCGAACTAACAACCACTAGACTAACTAGACGGTTAAATAAACATAGTAATATCTGTTTATTATTACTTTTAATTATCTATCCAATTATTGTGTTAAATGAAGAAAGTTTAACATATTAATATTTACCTGGCAACACTCTGTTGTAAGAAATTTCATCAAAAATTGGATTATTATCGTTGATATCAGTAATCTTGATCGTTAAAGTAGTTTTAGCTACATGTTCGGTATCGGAGGCAGTGATGTTCACCTCATATTGTTTTTTCGTTTCGAAGTCTAAAGGTTTATTGAGTACAATCTTTCCACTATATCTGTCTATTGAAAACGTATTGTCCCCTTGAACAATGGAGTACTTAAGGGCAGGATATGTGTCAACGTCATTTGCAGTAACAGATGTCAGTATCGATCCAACTTCCGCTCCTGTAAAAACAACAAACAAAAGAAATCAGCATGAATAAATTCGAAGTTTAAGATACTTTCGTTTGACTGCCACTTTAAAGATTCACAAAATAAAATGTTCTAAAACAAAACCAACATCGCAGTACAATGATATAAAAAAACAAAAAAAGAACAAAAAGATATCGAGCGCAGACCGTTCGTCGGGGAGGCACTGCTAAAACATGCACTCGAAAAAAATGTAATACCGTCCAATAAATATTGATCCTAAAGGAGACCCTTTTATTTAATCTCGGCGCTGGAATCGCACAGTCGCAATGTAAGCCAGCCGTGGAGTCTGGAATACAAATTATGTAAAATGCCTCCCTCTTTGTAAGATGCTTTTTGTTTTACCAATTTATTTCGCAAAGCTATCGACCGCCCTACACCAATTTAAAAGAGAATACGCTTCCATTATGAAACTAAAACGTAGAAACAAACATACCTTCAGATACTGAGATGATATTTGGTAGCGGGAACGTCGGCTGGTTGTCATTAACATCGACAACGTTTATTCTTAAAGTAGCTGTGCCAGTCATTTGTGGATCACCTTCGTCTGTAGCAATAACAGTCAACTTATACATTTCTCTTATTTCACGGTCCAGCACTATGTTTGTTTTGACTGATCCAGAAAAAGCTGGTTCTATTATGAAAGCATTGTCGTGATTCCCGTCCACAATGTGATACAGAATCCTGGCGTTAGCTCCACGATCATCGTCCTTTGCAGCTAGTTGCACAACGAATTCTCCTTTAGTATTCCCTTCAAGTACATTAGCTATGTACTGTTGTTGCGTGAATCTGGGAGCGTGATCATTTTGGTCTATTAGATTAACAATCAAGTCGCAGTACGCGTACAAACTAGGCAAGCCTTCTGTTCTAGCAACTATTACGAGTTTTCGTCTTGGACCTGAATAAGATTCGTAATCCAAATTTACTGAATTGTTGACTCTTATGACTCCTGTGTATGAATCTATTTCAAAAGCGTACTGATCGTTTCCGTTTCCAAATTCGTAAATAATTCTTTGACGCCGTCCGTCAGTCCTTAACGCTGTCACTTGTAATACTTCTTTACCATAAGGAAGGTTTTCTTCAATTGTAATGTTATATGTTGTATTTTGAAAGTGCAACGTGGGTGATTGATCACTTAAATCACCAACACGAATTTCAATGAGTCCTACTGAGCTTTGTGGAGGATTCCCTTTATCCTTTGCCATCACACGTAAGTGAATAAAATTTCCATTTTCACTCGCTAAACTCTGAGTTGCTGTCAGCACACCTGTTGTAGGATTGATTCGAAAGCGATTATTAGCCGTATCTAAAAGTTCAAATATGATTTCAGCGTTAGTTCCTATATCATTATCCGTAGCAAAAACACGAAGTAAGCTTTGTCCTGGTGGTGTCAGTGTAGCTATTTGTTCCCTGAATGGGTATTTTGAAAAAATAGGTTTGTTGTCATTTACATCACTTATTGTAATCTCGATAGACACTCTTTGTGAGCGCGCAACATAACGACCTTGATCTGTAGCGACAGCCTCGAAATGATAAATACTATTTTTCTCTCTATCGAAATATCTGTAATAAATATAAAATAATAGTTAAACAATAAACAAAGGACGTTAAATGTAAAACAATTATATTATTTTTGTTTAATAACTTACCCGGTTGTAAATATAATTCCTGTTTTATTGTCTATTCTGAATAGGCCTTGACTCTCATTTGCTAAAGAATAAACAATACGCTTATTAAAACCTAAATCAGCATCCGTAGCTCTCACTTTGATAATAGATGTATCAATAGGTGCATCCTCAGGGATAGCAGCTGAGTAATGACCGGTATCAAAGACCGGGTCGTTATCATTCTGATCTTCAACCAAAATTGTGAGGTTGCATGAACCTTGTAAAGCTATTGGTGAACCGTGGTCATATGCAGCAATTGTTAAATCATACTTTGATTGAGTTTCACGGTCTAGTGCTTTAGCCGTTAGTTTTCCAGAGGTTGAATCTATAGAGAACTTGTTTCCGTTATTTCCCGATATTATGCTATAGGTTATTACTCCGTTTGCACCAATATCTTTATCTGTTGCTGTAAAAGTATGAATAACTTCAGGTTCGTTATTTTCAGGAACTGTTAAAGGATAACATGAACCAGCTTTGAAAGTTGGTGGGTTATCGTTTACGTCTAAAACACTTATTGAGACTGTGGCTACATCAAAGTTTGTCGTAGACTGAAAAGTGCTGGAATCGGTTACATAGACTGGAAAAATGTATTGGTCCGTCACCTCCCTGTCTATTTTCGATTTCACTGTTACTGTGCCAAGACGTTCATCAATAGTAAATTTATTTTCAGCTAATCCTGGTGGAATCACATAAGTAAGATTTCCTGTAACAAGTTTTTAACATTTCAAATTTACATTTCTATTTCTATTTTACTAAAGAAATTCGGTTGTAATGTATTATAAAATAGTTTACCTGCATTTCCTCTAGATGACTTAGCATTTAGCCTAGTCACAAAACTGCCAGGACGTATATCTTCACTAATGTTAGCTCTATAAATTGAATCCGTAAATCTTGGTGGGATATTTGTAGACGCTCGTATATTTAATAGAAGAGTCATATGATTTTGTCGAGGAAAAGGAATCCCGTGGTCAGATGCTGTAAGATTAAGCTTGTACTGACCAGGGCGAATTTTAGATGGATCCCCAGAGAATTGATTTGATAAGATTAGCTTCCCTGTATCGTAATCCATTGAAAAATAAGAATCGTCGTTGCCGCTAGAAATGTAATACGATATTCTGCCATTGTCCCCTGAGTCTGTGTCCACAGCTAACGCCTGATACAATATGCCTGATAATGTATTTAAAGTAACTGATATTTGATTTATTGATACAAAATTAGGAACATTATCGTTCGCATCTGTTACTTTAATATGTACTGTAGCTAAAGTGGTCCTTCTTTCTGTGAGGTTTGAAGCCAAATCTGTAGCTTGAACAACTAACCAATAATCCTTTATTTCCTCAAAATCAAGAGGTGAAGTTAATGTCAGAGTACCCGTTAAAGTATCTAAAATAAAAACATTTTTGGTCGATGGTAAAGAAGAAATTATACGAAAATTTATTTCGCCATTAATTCCAAAATCCGCATCCTTGGCTGTAAAATTATATATAATCATTCCAACAGGTGCCATCTCCGAAACTTCTATATTGATAGGATCCTGAGGCCATTGAGGTGCGTTGTCATTAACATCAATTATTTCTATCTTTACGGTGACAGCGCTGCTTTGTGGATTATTTGTAGCTGACGTATCTAACGCTCTCACTTCTAGTCTGTATTCTTCTTGTATTTCTCTATCTAGTTGCCTTGCTACAACTAATGAACCGGTTCGGCGATCTATTTCAAAAGTCCCTGGCGAATGATCTAATGTTATTGGCATGAGAAGATATGAAATTTGTCTTTCATTAAAGTTCACTAAATTATCTTGTATATCACTATCACAGCATGCCACTGTACCGACTATATGACCAATTTTGGAGTTTTCTTTCACCTAGAAGTTGAATAACATTATAGTGAATATCGATTCATCATAGTAAAGTATGCGTTAGGGTAATTACAATATTAAAATATTATTTTGATTTTAAATATAAGTACCATTTATGACTATAAATATACTTACTTTGAAGGATAAACTCGAACTGGTAAATGTAGGTCTGTTGTCATTTAAGTCTAAAACTTCAACTTTCAACTGTCTCACACTTTGTCTCGGTGGTTTGCCACCATCCGTGGCTGCCACTGTTAAACGATATATCGATCTCTCTTCGTGGTCTAAAGCTGTAAAGTTTTTAAAAGTAGTTTTAAGGTATGAAATTATGAAGAGATTTTTCTATGACTTATTTTATTGTTCCTTCTTACAAACTAAGCTAGATATATTTCAACAGATAATGCTCAAGTACTTACTTGTACTAGTTTTTATAATTCCAGTAAAAGTATCAATAACAAAAACGCCGTAACCATCCATATCCCTTTCATTTAAAATTGAGTATGATATTGTGGAATTAATACCATTATCTTTATCTATAGCCTTTATTCTAGCGACTTCGGCGCCTGGTTGCTGTTCTTCTCTAACGCTGACGACATCTTCTCTTGGATCAATAATTTCTGGCGAATTATCATTCACATCCGTGACTTGGATAGCAACGGGAACTCTGTTTGATCTGGGTAAGTTACCTTGATCTCTCGCTTCAGCAAACAAGGAGTGAGATGATTTGAATTCTCTGTCCAAAATTTCTCGTGTGGTTATTATACCTGAAAAATATTTGTGTTAAATAAAATATATTACTTCCATGATGTTTTCCAAATTTTAAACTTGTAAAAATTAAGAAAACTATCTACTGCTCTGCATCGCTCTGACAAATATTTGAATTAGACAAGATCTTAAATGATGAACATGTAGAAAACGCGAAAAATATCTTAATTTCGAATTTTTTTTGAGCGGTTTGAAGCGGCCACTAAAAAATATATATTCGCCGATATTTCTCAGCGCAGCAACAACTTAATATATCGTCTCACTGTCATTGAAGTAAGTAAGCACCTTACACATTGGGAAGAGAGAGATTTGTATTTATGCCGAAACCCGACTAATCGAAAAAACGGTAAAGTAACTCCCTACGATGCCATTTCGTTTTCTTTTTTCGCACGATAACTTATTCTATTATTTTACTTGAGATATTTATATGGAGATAATTAGCATAATTTATAGGTAATTCTTCTTGGTGAGATCCCGAACATATTTTACGAGTATAATTCATTTGAGTGCTGGAGAAAATAAAAGATATTCGTCAAGGCAACGAGTTGTAGGTTCGTGCAAAGTCCTACATGTACATTTGTAACGTATGAGCTTTAAATGCCCGACGACAGTATCTTGGCCTGCTGGGGCCCGTAATAAAACATGGAAGAGAATAGCAAGGTTCCTGCATAGCAATATTTTAATAATAGTTAATGGCGGGTCACGGCGCATGCGCGTGCGACGACGTTTATAACTCGAAATTGACGCGCATAAATTCATTGCCTCCTGTTGCGGTCTAACTTGATTCAGCTTTAAAAGTTATCTTAGATCAATTAAAATAACTTAACGTCACGTTACTTAGTATTTATATGAGTAATTACCTATATTTTTTTAAAGTTTGTACTTATAAAAAGTACTAAAAAATAGGGACAAGAAACACTCAAAGTTTAGTCCATATGTCCTCATGGGTCACAGCATCATTACTGTTACTTTTTTTTGAACAAATTGGATAGATAATAATTTATCACTTATTTATAAAGCAAAATGCAGTTAAAACGTGTAACTATTAAGTCAATGTGTTGTCACCTTATTTTTATTATATTTAATTTATTACTATATTTAATCTGGTAAGTGAAAACCTACCTTACATGAATAAAAATGACGTTACTCAGAAACTGAAACGAGTTTATCCTTCATATATTCAGCAATCTCGGTTTTTTCAGGCTTGATAATATTTAAAACTGATTAACAGCATCCGTTAAAATTTGAATTCCATATCAGACGCGAGCTCGATTCAATCGCATACTACAGTTCTCATTAGGAATGATTTACGAATGTTGACCACAATCCATGGTAGTGCTTTTAAATATGCTAAGTAGCACGTGAAGTGCCAATTCCCGATATACCGAAATAAAATAAAACCATTGACCATTCATCGGTCGGTTAAGGTGCTGATACCATTGCACCCTCCTTGTGAATGCCCATATCAGGGAGGAAAAAACTTGTACTATATTCAAGATTAGCAGCACTGATATAAAACTTGGGAATGCAATATGATTGTTTTAATGCGAAATCGCTAAATCGTAAAACAAAAAAAAAGGATGAAATTTGAAAAAAAAATTTGCATAATTAAACTGATGAAACTACAATCATTAATTTTATTAGCAAAGAGAAATGATAACATAATAGTAGTTGACTAAAATAATATAAAAAAATTCATCCATTGATTATTTACAATTACTATAATTTTCTTGCATCGAAGAGAATAAAAAAATAAGTGGCACTTTGTGAGTTCACTTCTGGAACTGAACCCTAAGTATATGATCGAATGTGATATTCATGGGAATATAAGAGCAAACACCCTCTTCACACTGCTCCCTTTTCCTATAAATTGTGCAGGTATTAATGTGTTCATGTTTACACAATCCGTTTGCTCAGTTGACGAGTCTTAAGCCATAACACACTTTGGGTTTTAGCTTTCAAAAGTGCCGGCATTACAAACAATACGCTGAGAGCTTGGGTACTGTTCAGCGGAAAAGTTCTTTGGCTAATCAAACACTCGTACGGACACTCAGCCCATAAGTATTACGGTACTACATTGTTCTAGGACGCAAATGCAACTAAATTGACTTTACTAAATATTGAACGTTCTTTTTATTTTCAGCTTATTTTAGAAATTAAATACTCGTTTCTTTCTTTAGAGAAACATTATGATATTCGGACATTTATTACAGGTAGGTTAGCAATAAGTAAAATTTAAATCCGTTGTTAAAACTGTTTTCTTAATTAAATAAATTTTAAAATTAAATCATAGCAATACTCACCAGAGATAGGATTGACAGTGAAGCTAGTATTTGAAGGGAAAAGGCTGTATCTTATAACAGCATTGTCACCTAAATCCGCATCGGTAGCAGATATCTTGCCCACAAATGCTCCTATTTCATGATTTTCCTCCACTTGAAACTCATACAGAGCTTTTGTGAATACTGGATCATTATCATTCGCATCAATAACGTTCACAATCAGACTAGCACTGGCTGAAAGTGATGGTATACCATTATCAGTAGCAATTACAGTCATCCTGTGTCGAGACGTTGTCTCTCTATCAAGAGGTTTGGCAAGGTATATCCAGCCCGTTGTAGGTTGGACATTGAAATGTTCTTCATTTGTATTATTTTCTGATATTATCTTATATGTTATGCGAGCATTGTTGCCAGTGTCTTTATCTATAGCCTGAATTTCCAGTATCTGTAAAAAAGGTAGTTTTAAATAAAGTATTTTTCGTTCGTCATACTTGAAAATTCATCACAAAGTTTTAAAGCTATATAAAATACAAGAAAACGTTCTAACGATAATTTTTAAAAGTACGATTAATTTTTTTATTAAAAACCAAAGTACTTGGGTGACAAATGAGCTAATAACAGTCCACAATGGTATGTGGACACTGTAATTTTTTTTTGTTTCTATATATAGTTTCGTCTGACTTGTTTAGAGAACCGGTGACTATTTTTCTGGTAAAAAGGTACTTACTCCATTTTATTCAAATATGCCAACATCCACTTATCAACAGGTGGATTTTATTGTAAACTTACGGTAAAATAAAAAATACGACGATATTATTCCTAAAATAAAATAGTATTATCTTACCTTTGCTTTCACGGCTTCCGATTCCAGCACATTAGCGCTGTACGAATCATGTTCGAAAACTGGTGCATTATCATTCACATCTTGTACATCCACTACCAAAGTCAAATTGGCACTAAGAGATGGGGTACCGCCATCCTTGGCTGTGATGATCAACGTATGTTTGACCTGATTCTCGTAATCCAATGGTCTGTGGACAAACATGACAATGTGATTGCTTCGTTAGGTTAAAGTTGTTTATTAGAAAGAATAACGTGGTATTTTTAGATGAAATCTGCAATATTAACAGTATAAGTAGTTACCTTAAGAGAGTAACTAATCCATGTTGCGAATTAACAGCAAAGGTATTAGGCGGCCCGGTGGCAGATAGAAGATTGTAAGTGATCTGTCCGTTTTTCCCATCGTCTTCATCCGTAGCTCTTGCTGCATAAACTACGGAACCAATAGCTGCTGACTCAGCTACTGAAACTTTTACTGAAGATGTTCCAAACTCCGGAGTATTATCATTGACATCCTCAAGTGTTATTTGGACCTGTTAAAGTAAATCATAAATCAGAATATTATATTATTAATTAATTTAAATATAATATTTAATACAATAATTTTAATATTCTAATACAATAATTTTAAGTTTATTAAGTTTAAGTAACATTGAAGCTATTATGGAAATGTTTGAAATTTGAATATTTCAACGTGTAAAACATATTTGTAAATAAATAGTTTTTCGGAATATTCAGATAACTCATTATATATTTTGTATATTAACAATTAGTTTAATCAAATTTAAATATTTAAAAAAATCTTTATATCTTTCGTATAATAATTTTTTTGAAACAACATTGAAAATTTGGATAGCACACAAACCTGGGTCTGATCGTAAGTAGCTGGATTTCCATTGGCTGCTTGAACATTCAAAAGGTACGAAGAGGTTACTTCGCGGTCCATTTGCGTCGCTGTTCTTATGGCTCCCGTATGGGGCTCAATGCTGAAATGGTGATCAGGATCACCGGAGACTATGCTGTATCGGACGAGTTGTTTTCCTAAGGAAAAAAATAACTTATTAGCTTAGTATACCGTGTTTAAATGTTATTTGATATGACACGATTTGTTATAGTCTTATAGTACATTACTTTTTTTAAACTCATGAGTGAAAACTATGAAACTTCAAACATTGTTATAAACAATGGTTGCCTTTTGGAATTCTCAACTCAATATATTATTCATATCTATCTTTATTTTTGAATCATAAGTGTAATAAAAATAATTTAATAACGCATTTCGTGGTCACTTAAATATTTATACATGCCTCATTATTGTTTTCCTTAAAAATGGTCAAGTTTTATTTCGTTTTTACTTTACCCTTTCATGAGCTTAATTATTATTATTGTGTAATTATTGTATATTGTGACAATGGAAGAGTACTGACGTTTACAGCTCAGGTTTTCTTATTGAAAGCGTCAGCTGAACTACTGCTGCGTAGAATAAGTAAACATTTTTTATTTAATGTTTAAGGACTTTGCATGGTGTGCAAATAAATAAATATTATTATTATTATTCTACTTGTAAATTAATTTTCTTCTCTTCTTCTTTGTATTCAGTCTGTGGAAGTCCACAGCTAGACATGGGTCGCTTCTGTCGTAAGGAGGTTGGGCAGTAACATTATAGTAGCAACTTAGACGCTGTTGCTCGTTGCCTGTCTTAATATTTTACAACTTACGTAAATAAGATTTTACACCGCCATCTATCGAAAGGTATGAGTTTTCTAGCATTTCCATTGTCAGCTCTTACAACACCCTCGGATAGACTCTCATACGTCTCCACCACATTCATAATTTTTTTTACAAACGTACAAAATGTTGAAAAGAATAACGTAAAATATAAACTTTAAAATTAAAATCACCCTAAAAGAGAAAAAATAAAGATAGAAATTTTATTCCAGATCGTAAAACAATAGATTTAAATAACGACATATAATACGTAAGGGAACATCATAAATTACAATAAATAATATATTGGATTGTAGTAACGAGAGTCAGTGATGCGCTGTTAATTACGTTTGCGTCAGGCACTACTGACAAAACCAACATAGCATTTTAATGAAATTATGTAATTCACCTGCTAAGTTAATTAATAAAAATTATTAGTAAAGATCAAGTAAGCTATATCTACACGTATAAGTTAAATTTAAGTGCATGTATGTAATATTGACATAATTGGCTTGTATTAAGCTCGGGGGTCATTTGAATGCTATTAAGTTAAAATCAACTATTTTTAACATGTTTACTTCCCGCTAAGTATATTGAAATTCGAAAATCGCGAAGTTATTGTTTTTACCCCGTTCTTCGAAAATTGAGTTTTCACCAAATCTTGACGTTTTGAGGTCACAGGAAGCCACCCTGACAATTTTTCGTTGGTGTCTGTATGTTTGTCTTGTGTGTATGTGTGTGTGAAAAATAAAAATTTTGAAAAACTGTTTTTTTGGAATAACTTCTTTATTACCGATCGATTCCAAAAATAATCAGCTTTTAACCCTAAAAACCCACGTCGATTACCGCCGGTCTGGTCAAAATCGGTTGATTCGTTCGTGACAAATCGTTAACGAAAATTTTTGAAAAAATTGATTTTTTTAATAACAGCTCTGACATATCATATTCAACGTCATAATTTTTTGAAATTTGAAGCGCTTTGCATTTGAAATTAGCGGGAAGTTCCAGGTATGGCCTGCAGAGTCAACCAATTTTTTTTCAAATGAATGCTCTTTAATAATAATAATAATTATATTTCAGACATGAACCATTATCTTAAATCTAAATAACGCCACATTAATAGATCTTTCCCTTGCGAAGTCGAACGGATTGGTTAGTAAGTAATAATAACAATAACTTGACATTTAGAAGCAAAAATAGTTCGATATTTTTCCTTTTAAGAAAACGTTACAACTTTATTTGTACCAGACTTGTCGATTATGGAACGAAAAACCCATCAGCCCAATGCGGAATGATGCAAAACAAATTTGTTCCGCCCCTGTTACCTCGCGCCGTATTTGGACGCCTTTAGTTTTTCACCGTAATTATATCTTAATGTCTTTTGTCGCGAGGACAATCGTCGATTCGCGTTCTTCGTAAGGGATTAAGGGTAATGCTTTGAATCGTAATATGGTAAAAAATGCCCGCTCGTACGTATCGTCTGCGAGTCGAAATATGTCAATTTTTTTCTCCGCACTTCAATTTTTCCAGATTATGGGAACCCAAACTGATAATACCACAGTTGTATTCATGAATCTTGTAGTGTACTTTTTATTAAAAAAAATCCGTAGTGCAGTAACTAAACATTTGGTTGCGACGCTGTGGGGTTGCGGGTTTGGAACCCACAAGCAACAATATTTGCATGGCCTAAAAATGATTGTTCCGGATCTGGAAGTTGTGCAATTCATGTACGTATACAGCTACCATGATACAGAAGAAAACTCTAATGAATGCATTTTACCTCACTTTTTTTTGAAAAGGCTGGCAACCCATCCGCAATCCCCCTGGTGTTTCAGTTCAAGCCGCATGCTCTTTTACCCTTGTTATATCTCGACCGGGGAAGGACCACGCTCTCGCAGAATACCAGTGTAAAATAGCAGCTTAATGCTGCTGTGTTTCGTATGGTGAGTGCACAGAAACGGAGACCCGTCTTATTGGAATCGAGGCATTCCATCTTAGACCTCAGGGGTGACAACGCATCTGCATTTTGATTCTCAATCGAGGTTAAAGGTGTCTATGGGCCACAGCATCCACTTAACATCAGGTGGACTCTGTGCTCGTTTGTCACCCTTATTCTAAAAAAAATATGAGAAACCAATACATATTTTGGCATCTGATTTTGCATAGATATATTATATTTATTTGTATTTTTGATATGAATATTTTAGAAAACATTAACTCATGTGTCAATGCTCATTACTGTGGTACTATAATATATATATATATATATATATATATATATATATATATATATATATAGTTACATATTTTTCTTAGTTTTTTTTATGGTTTCATCAATATTTATTAATACATTTAACATCTATGAATAAACCCTTTAAACTGCAGTACCCACAAAAATTCATAATTTTTTATTTAAAAAAATTAAAGAACACTGTATAAATAAAGTATTAAAATAAATGACTTGTTACTTAAACAGTCAATAACTACTTTATTAGTTATAAATTAAAGCGGCATAAATGAAATGCTAAAGTGGTTGCGATGAAACGTACATAATACAATAAATTTGCAGCCACATTTACTTGTAATGCCCAAGCTTAAATTATGATAATGCTAAAACTCTTTCATTATTTAGAGATTTTAAAACTGGAAAGCCAAAAATGTTTTATTTGTATCAAATTTTAATTGGCACTTCTCGTGGTAGTTAAAGCGATTCATTGTCGTCGGCCATTTTTTTTTTCAGGACGTCCGTTTTTTGTGTTCGAGTTTTTTCGTCGGCCGTTTTGGGCAGATCGGTTGACGGTAGGAGATTGATATACTGACTTATTCACCGACGTTCTCGGCAGCCTTTGTCCCTGTAACAGGTCCCTAGCAACTTTTCCCCTCCCCGTCCCCGGCCCCTATCCCCGATGCTCCTTTGTCTTTCCTCTTTATACAACCGGTGACGCGCTATCGTCTTATTTTCGGAGATTTTACGGGGCCCGTCTTTAATGCGGTGACCGGTGTTTGTTTTCGCTTCAAGATTTTTCGGTTTCTTGTGTGTTGCTATGGACGATGATCGTCTAATATGATATGAAATTATACATTCAAGTTTAGAGTTTTATTAAATATTGAATTAATAATTCAATATTACAATTTATAATTCAATATTGAATATGAGATAAAGAGAAACATAGTTTACAATACTGTAAATATACTTAAATAAATTTGAAATCATCATATATTTGAATGATCTGTGGTGCAGTAGTCTAGCAATGAGTTACAGCGCTGAGAGCCGCGGGTTCGAATTCCGTACGGAACAAGTATTTGTATGGCCTACAAGTAATTGTTCCGGGTCTGGATGTTTGTCCTTGTGCAATTTATGTACGTAAACTGTCTCCACGATAGAGGAGAAAATCCTAGTGTGGGGGTAATGTTCTTTAAAGAAAAAAAAATCTTCGGCGCTCTCCGTAACCCAAACTAGTAGATCGATTTTAACAATTATAGGGTGCCGTTAGATTCGTCTTTATTGCCGTGACATAAGGTATAAATATTTTCTTTTTTCAATAAACTTTTTACGCAGTTTGGCTGTTTTAATACTCTTTTAACCATTGGGCTTGATTTTTTTTGAGATATCATTAGTTGTGATAAATAATTAAAACATATATAAATAACAAATAAATGCACTCTAGATGCAACGTAAGGTGTTTTGATCTGGGCTCATTAAACTCGAACAACAGTGCGGTCTCTCCCGTGGCTTACCTGTCCCACGTCATTACGAAAATTTATTCGCACTCGGCCCTCTAAATTGAAATCATTAATGCCGCTACCGATTATCTGACTCACGCGGCAACACCCGCCCTCAATTAAGACTTGTAAAGATCTTCTATGTGAATTGTTACGATCTTCGATTTCAGTTAAATGAATTAATTATCTTAAAAGTTCGATTATCTCCGCTCTTTAAATGCCATTCGGAATGAACCTGGGAAAGTTCGCTTATCTAGCATCAAGGATCGCAATGAAATCTTTTTATAACTGTATCTAAGGGCAAGTCGTATTCTACTAGAGGGGGCACAAAGGTTAATTATACCGGGATAAATGAGACTAAAGGTCAACTTGGACTTTGTTTGTTGGAAATAGAAAACAAAACGAAAACTTCTAACATTATCTGGATCGTTGTAGCTTTGTTGGTCTAATGGCCGTAAATCTGATCGTGAGGTCCTGGGTTCGAATCATGGGTCGGACCAAAATCAGCTACTGGGTTTTTTGCCAAGAAATTCTCAGATGTAGTCCGAAGTCAGGAAGCTGGAGCTGTTTCACGTGCCTCGGAACGCAAGTAAAATCGTGGATCCTGCGCC